TATAGAATAATAATTTGAAATACATTTCATGACATTTTTCGGGCATCTATAGAAATGACAAATGCATTTCCTATATTATGTATAATTGTCTGCATTCAAATCTTGCATTTTTTTTTTATCAAAGTTGAATTCTTGACTCTGCTAATTGACACCTGCAATTGTGCACTCTCTTACACACAGCCACACACAGACACTCACACACATTATGCAATCACACACACTGATCTGAACCATGGCCAATCTCTGTAGTATTACACAGTGTGGCCTTTTCACTGCGCAACCCGACGCCCACACACTGCTTGGCCCTTAAATGTCAATGCCGTTCAACACACATGCACGCACACACATTTTGTGACATGGGTTGATGCATCCTTTCCTGTATGCTAGAGCGTTTTTCGCCCATTGCAGGGACTATTTCTGTTTAAAAAAAAAAAAACGCTCTCCTGAGGAGCGGCCTGGTGGTCGACTGGTTAGCGCATCTGCCTCACAGTGCAGAGGTGCAGGGTTCGATACTGGCTCCGGCCTTCCTGTGTGGAGTTTGCATGTTCTCCCCGTGCCTGTGTGGGTTTTCTCCGGGTAATACGGTTTCCTCTCACATTTTAAAACATGCATGGCAGGCAGGCTAATGGAACACTATAAATCAGTGGTTCTTAACCTGGGTTTGATCGAACCCCAGGGGTTCGATGAATCAGTCTGAGGGGTTCGACGGAGACTCTGCCATGGAAGGTATGACACACCCGGCTCAACATGTCAATTAGTTATGACACGCCCGCTTGGCCGCCAATGGCTGTGGATGATCACATTACATTGCTTGTCCAATCAGTGTAGCGAGCAATTTAGTTCGCTCAGCAGTCAGCATGACTGTCGTGATAGTACGTCATGTGTTTTGGTTTTTTAATGTTTTAACACATGCTATGTCGAGCAAAAAAAGAACGTGGTTGGACGAATATGTACAATATGGATTCACATGCATCACGGAACATGATGGGACACAGCATCCTATCTGCATGATTTGTCATGCCAAGTCGAGCAACTCTTGTCTCGCACCTATAAAACTGAAGGAACACTTCTTGAACCATATTTTAATTTTTCACTAAGTTTGTGAGCATGAGTAATTGTTCGTCTATGGGTGCCCTGCGATTGGCTGGCAACCAGGGTGCCATCCCGCCTACTGCTCTCTCTCTCTCTCTCTCTCTCTCTCTCTCTCTCTCTCTCTCTCTCTCTCTCTCTCTCTCTCTGTGTGTGTGTGTGTGTGTGTGTGTGTGTGTGTGTGTGTGTGTGTGTGTGTGTGTGTGGAAATGGAGTGAATGAAACACTGCCACACTAAGATCCATTGAAAAAGTGATTCAACGTCCTGAGAATCCTGAATTCTCAGGTCGTTGTATCAATCACAACTGGGTTGTTGTGGTGGCAATCAATTCAATGCCCGGAGAATGAATGAGAATATTCACAGCTACTGCATGTCTAATTCAAAAACTGTGAAATCAGGGAGTATAAAATATTGCTACATTAAACTCAGTTGAAAAACATGTTTGTGTAGGGTTTGTCACATGCTTGCAATAAAAGTACGAAAAAAACATAACCATGAGGCATGATGACTCGTGCCATGCTGCACAGTCCTAACAAAAGGATGAGCAGTTACAGTCAGACGCCAAAACAATTAACTCAAAGGCCCCTCTGAAAGTCTAATCTCCTAACCTTTATGCCACCTTTCCTTCACCTTTGTTGTATTATGTCATTGGCAGAGATGGACATTCCGTCGGTGGGACGTTACGGTTCATCTTTCTCTTTGTCCCGGACGGACAACCATTTTGGGGACAGAGGATGGAGAACGGGAATTTTTTTTAAAAGGACGGACTAAGTAAGGCCGGAAGTGGGTTTTAGTACGGCCTTTTAATCGTCTCTAACCGAATTATAAGTATGTGGTGTCAGGAGGCAAAATAACAAGGCCAGAGTGGAGCCAAACACTGTATCTTCTTAACAGGCTATTAACAGTACAACACTAGTTTGTACGACTCAGTCACCATTACAGGTATCCTCTTATTCCTTTTTCATCTCAACAATACTTTTATAGCGACACTGCCTCCTAGTGTACACTCAAAGAACTTAAAGTACCTCTGGACACCCATTTTAACGACTGACAGAGGAACATGCACAGCCTGTCTTAAGTGTGTAATTACCCCCCCCCCCGGGCCCCATGCGTTTCAGGTGCCCCCCTGAAGGCTGGGCTCTGGTGATGGGTGTGCCTCTGCCGTTAACCTCTCTCCCACGGTGTCATGCACAGACGCTTTTTTTGTTTTTCTCGGACTGGTGAAATGCAAGGATGGAAGTGCTTTAAAAGGATGAGGGTGGATGATGGAGTGGAGGATGATTATGAAGTGTAAAAAGGCCAATAAAAATCTTTGAAATACTTACTGTACCGCATTATAATTACACAAAATCTGTGAAATTATAAATACCTGACGTTTTTTTTTTTTTACTACATCCTCCATTATCAAAGGTAGAACAAAACTTTTTTATGCTCCCTACTTCAAGAATTATTGTGGCACTGCCTTTTTTAATTTTAACTCACACCTTTGACTCTCCCCTTTTTCTCTTGATGTGCATGGAGCAGGAAGTATTTTTAAAGGTGGAGAAACTTTTGTTTTCATTTACACGTATGTTGTAAGTATTTTAATGTATTTAATGTAAGTATTTTAATACATTGTTGCGCCATATAGTTAGTGCAGGGGTACGCTGTATCAATAACATTGACCAAGAGAACATTATTTTCTGCTGTTTTCATCAGGCTTTGTGATTGAGATGATTAAACGCAACCAACACAAGAAATCTTGAAGTGTGTCATCAATGTTCTTAAATACAAATACAAATACAATACAATCGGACAGCACCAGTTACACTTGGTGACATGACGACCGGCGCCTGTCTGGTCGCCGGGGTACGCTTTTCACATGGCTCAAGTCCGCTGCTCACCCTAAGCCTCCCCCTTGGGGCGGAGACAGTGTACGTGAGGTGTGGCCAGTCACGCACTTTTGTGTGTTCTGTGTGCGTGATTTCCTTTAATGTTGTTTCATGCTCTTTCATCTTCTCATGTTGTCGTGCGGTTGATGTTCCATTTGCTAGGCTAGTGTGTTTGATTTTATTATTACAGTAGAACTTTGATAGAACAGTTTTGATTTCTAATTAATCATATCTTCACCTCAACCCATTGAAATGCTGTTTCATCTTATCGTAGCTGTGTCGCTCTTTGTTGGGGTTTGAGGTGATGTCACCATGGCTGGATGTGGTCATGATGTTACATTTGGAGTGGAGAAGCAGAGGTTACTCTGCCCCAGCAGGTCTGGCCACACATTTGACAACACGGTCATTAACTCACCACTGACCCCCACCGCTAGCGCCACGCCGATTACCCAATCAGGACCCAGGCCCACACAGTTAGTATCAGTCGAAGCATTTGGAGGCATGATTACAACTTTTGCCAAACAGATCAGAGACAACATCTCGGCCATGCTTAGCACTATAAACCAGGCTGGTACCTTCCAGCCTTAGCCTCCCTCTTTGGGTCAGTCATACAGCAATGCTGATTTGCCTCAAGTGAGAGTTGTTGTGCAGACTGATGCCAAAGCACCACCACCTTACTTCAGGGGTGACCGTACTGATGCATTTTCTGTTCGTGAGTGGGTGGACAGAGTGAAATGTCACTGTCATGCTTAAATGTTTAAGCGGATTATGTCAAAGCGAACAGGGAAAGCTCGGGATGTTGTAAAGGTGTCGTTGGGCAGCCGCCCTGGAGTCAGCGAATATGACCTCCCCACAGATTTGTTTGACATATTGAAACGTAACTTCAGTGAGCTGTCAGACTCACACTTGCCCAATAAAGACTTTTACGGCACTATTCCCCGTCTTAACAAGTCTATTGATACTGCTGATGAATGCCTCCGGGGACGGGCAAAATCTGTTGAGTATCACAGTGTTGAAATTGTCTTGACGTTCATTAGTCAGTGTGCAGACCCTTGTCTTGCCATGTCGTTTCAAGTTAAATACCCTGATCAGCGAACTGCGGATGAGGTTCAGGAGCGCTTGAATGCTCACATGAGAAATGTTCGGAAGTTGGCAGTTCAGCCTCAACAAGTCATGGGTTTGTCTGCTTATGATCAGAGCTTGGTGACTGATTGATCTACGCCACACCCTGTCTCCATAGCATACCAACAGATGCCATCCTCGGTCTCTCTGCCAGTCTCGTGACCCCTTCAACCGATCAACAAACAGCACGGATGTTCAGCAGGTTGTGTCATTGTTTGACAAGGTTCTCTCCTTGCACAGCGCTTCTCTGGAAAGGAATCCAGTTCGTTGTGCCAGAATCTCTAAAGGCAGATTTGTTGTCCGGTGTTCATGATCATGCTTGTCATCAAAGACAGCCTCGCACAGTCTCTTTAGCGCACCAGCGGTTTTTCTGGTACTAACATGGAAAAGGATGTTCGCAATCATGTGAAGCACTATCATAGATGCATTCTCAGCAAGACCCCAGAGCCAGCAGCGAGGGCGCCACTTGAAAGTATTAAGACCTTTGCCCCTCTGGAGCTTGGGTGTGTTGACGTTTGGTCAGCTGAAGACAATCACAACAAATCCGTGGATGTTCTCATAGTCACTCATCACTTCACAAAATTTGCCAAGACCAGACTGCTGAGAAGCTGTGGGACAATTATTTCTGCATTTACGGGTTCCCCCAGCGCCTCCACTCTGACCAAGGTGCAAACTTTGAAAGTGAACTGATTACTGAGCTCTTGCATTTGTTGGAAATTGACAAGTCCCATACTTCACCTAGCCCCTCGCCTCGGTCTCAGGAAAGAAATTAATCCTGGCACCTTGACTGATTCACTACACATTTGAAGAGCACCACAAAATGATGAACTCATTACACTATTTAGAGCACTGCATAATAGATCAGGAGTGATTCCGAACACAAATTATGACTCAAAAAGGTGAACTTGCTTCCTTACCTTGTCGCTGTCCACTGTGTTCTGCGAGGTTCTGGATGCGATGGAGATGGTGTCCGGTTGACTACTGCCATCTCCCTGACTGTCTCCGTCCTCCCCTCCATCCCTAATCATAAACACACATGCAGATATAACCAGAGGAAGCTTTGGAAAAACTCTGATACTGCCCGAATGCTTGGAGATTCCATCAACAAGCTGAACGAACTCTGTCAAAAAAGGGCATTGTGACGCTGCTTGGTGTTGTCGCAGTAATAGCAATTCCCATAAATCAAAGAGAATATCAAAAATGCCTTTGAGTAATTTTGGATGCTCTTTTTGCATGTGTTGCTACTCAATAAATGTGAAAATAGACATTTTTTGAAGGCTTATAATTACTGTAATGTCCATGCTAATTTACATAATCGTTTTTTGTTTTTTCAAAGTGATTGATTACGTTGCCTTGTGTTTACCGGTAATTAAGTTTAAGATTTTAAAGTGTAGAGGTTAAAATAATAATAATAATAATATATTTTATTTGTCGGCGCCTTTCTAAGCACTCAAGGACACCTTATAACAAGCAGTTAAAAACACAAATACAATGTTAAAAACAACATCAAATAAAATAAGATAAAATAAAACAAAATAGAGATAATGGATTTATGGTCAGAGTGAATAAGCTTGTCTAAACAGATGTGTTTTGAGGCTGAATTTGAAACGTTTTCATGAGTCTATGTTACGAAGGTCAACGGGGAGTGTGTTCCATAGCTGGGGAGCAGAGCGACTGAAGGCTCTGCTCCCCATGGTGACGAGGCGGGCGGGGGGGACAGTGAGGAGGAGAGAGGAGGAAGAATGAAGAGAGCGGACAGGTGTAGCAATGTGGATGAGGTCAGATAGGCATGGAGGGGCAAGGTTGTGGATAGCTTTGAAAGTAAGGAGTAGGATTTTATATTGATTGCGGTGTATAATGTGGAGCCAGTGGAGATGTTGGAGGACAGGTGTAATATGGTTTTTGGATGGTGTGAGTGTGATAATGCGAGCGGCTGAATTTTGGATCAGCTGAAGCTTATGGAGGGTTTTTTGAGGAAGACCGAGCAGGAGGGAGTTACAGTAATCAAGTCGGGAGGTGGCGAGGGTGTGAACGAGGATAGCAGTGGAATGAGGGGTGAGAGAAAAGCGGAGCCGGTGGATGTTTCTTATGAAAATATGCAGAACGAATGATGTGGTTGATATGTGAGGTGAAGGAGAGTGTGCTATCGAGGTCTTTCTATATCATGGATTTTACCGATCATGGGTAAGTCTGCAACGTATCCCTTGTGACAAATGGGAGTTTGCTGTATTTTATGATATGTTTATGAACTTATCCAATTAGTTGATAAAAACATTCAATCAAATTTTAGCGCTAAGCAGCCAACAGGCAGCCTGTGACATTTTATGACAAGGATTAACATTGAAATTCATGGTTATTGTGTTAAAAAATAAATCCGTCACCTCTTGGCATTATTGCGAGGTTTGGTGAGTGTTGCCGTTTTGGGGAGCTGAACTGGCTCCTTCAGTGCGCCTTTCAGGTGAGTCATTCTCTCCTGGATCACCTCCCTGATGTTCTTTATCCACTCCTGTTTAGCTTCTACACTGGACGCCTGCATGAGAACCAGAACATTGACTCAACGTATTGTTTACTATTCATAATGTGTATTTGCCTCTACTTGCCTTCAGTACAGTTTTATTATCAGAAGAGGGGGTTCGCCCAGCCCAGAGTGCAAATTTACATGGGTCGCCTTCGATGTGCTCCGTCACCCCCAACTCTGATGTCTGCAGTACAAATCAAGAATGTGATGTGACCACAAAGGTTCTGTTACGGCAGTGCGAAGAGACACCCACAGTAGCTGCGATCTTTGTCATTCTTTTGATATAGGCAACGATTGTTTTGTGCCACACGAAGCGGACCACACTCACCAGTAGTCTGTGTTTGTACTGGTACTTGGTTCTGCCCACTGAATCTTTGAACTCCTTGCTGAAGACCAGTGAGAATTCAAACAGAAAGAGGTGTCGGTCCCGCCCCTTTCGGATGAGTGAGCGCGGGTCCCAAACCTGGAAACTGTCTTGCAGGATCAACTCGCCCTGCACATCCAAGTTCTCCTCAAAACCTGGATTGGAGGACAGTCAAGTTCACTTCAACCTGAGCTTTATTAGAAATCAAGCTTTATAAGAGAGGAAACCAAAAGATTTGTGCAGCGGGGCCATGGTCAGAAGATGACATCGGATCTTATGAAAAGTAAGGAGTTGTCAATAGATAGATAGATAGATAGATAGATAGATAGATAGATAGATTTTTTTTCCACAAATGCATGTGTTTTTTTAGATGTAGCAGTGGTTGGGCTTTTACCTTCCAACATGGCAAGGTGCATGGCATCGTTGGCTCTCTTTGGCACGCTAAGCATGACGTCCAGACCATCTTTGATCTCCCCTTTGCCCTCCTCGCAACATGACAGCAACTCCTACAGCACGCCAGTTTCCATGCGGTATCCATCATCATCAATGCGAGCATATTATTATTATTCCGATTATTATTACTACTCTGTCCCACCTTGAGCAGCAGCTGGTACTTGGTGATTCTCTGCACCGGTTTGATGAGGTACGACGAAATCGAGTTGGCCAGACCACTTCGCTGCTGGATGTCCTGCTCACGCAATATACACAGAATCACAAATTATGACAGCACTCATCTGCAAAAACATTTGGGACAACTGCCTCAAAATAATGATCAGACTAATATGTTATTATTACAACACCCACCCGCACCCAATCACCCCCCCCACCCACACACACATATATAAAATGTTCATATTATACGTACATCCCTGTTCATATTTATATATACATGTAGACATGTGTATCAATATTGTATCTATTTTCTAATTCTTATCATTTATTTATTTTTCTCTTGGACTTAAACCCTCTTAAAAAGTGCCAAGACAGAGGCCATTGACAGCTTACGTGAAAATACTACCCTCTGTTGGACAACTAAGGTAACTACAAATTCATCCAAAGGTGGTTTTTAAATCCCCATTTTCCATAGCGCGTGTCCCTGATAGGGCCAAAGGTGACAGCCAACCCTAGCTGTCTTTGTGCGAGAGGCAGGGAACACTTTACCCTGGTCGCCAACCAATCACACATACAAACAACTGCTCATATTTACACCAATTTAGAGTCTTCAATTCACCTAATCTGCATATTTTCAAATGTTTGAGGAAGAAAGAGTAAAAGCCACTCAAGCACAGGGAAAACATGCAAACTCCACATGGGAGGGCCTGAGCCGGGATTTGAACCCAGAACCTGAGCAAAAGTGGTAACAATGTGTCCCATGCTGACCTCTTGACATAAATATTCATTCATTCATCCATCCATTTTCCTAATCTAATTTCCTCACAAGGGTCGCAGGCGCGCTGGAGCCAAACCCAGCTGTCTTCGGGCAGTAGGCGGGGTACACCTTGAACCCGTTGTCAGCCAGTCGCAAAGCACACAGACAAACAACCAAACACTCACATTCACACCTAGGGACAATTTGGAGTGTTCAATCAGCCTGCCATGCATGTTTTTGGAAAGTGGCAGGAAACCCGGAGAAAACCCACACAGGCATGGGGAGAACATACAAACTCCACATAGCAGGGCCGGACTTGGAATCGAACCCTGCACCTCTGCACTTTGAGGCCAACATGATAACCAGTCGAACACCGTGCTGCCCGACATGAATATTCATTTTTATTTATTACATTTCCTTTAGTACTTGTTTGCCTGATGGCAACACATGACCTGGAGCCTTTTCTGCAATTACTTAAAATGTAATAATAAAAAAAAAAATAATAATAATAATAATAAAATACTTACATCAAAAAAGGTGCCGGCATGCTCTAGAATGAGCTGGCTCGAGTCGGGTTTGTTCTTGCAGTAATCCACGTAAATGTGGAATTTATCCGCCTGCATCACATCAGACGGAACGAGACTTTGCATGATTTGTGGGATGCGAATTGTTCTAATATTTGAATAAAGTTTTTACCCATGTGACGAAGCAATGGCCCACATCCTCTGGCAACTGCTCATAGTTGACAAGCTCCTTCAAGAAAATACTGCAGGTGCACACGCATAAGAAACATAGCAGTCATATGTTCTCAATGAACACACTGGGCCCTTATTCAGCACTACTTTCACAAGCATGTTCTCCAACAAAAACAAGCATGTCCTGACAAATCCCAAAAGAGGAAATTTGCCAGTAAAAGTCAGACACTTTGGGAAATAATGGATTTCAAGAGAAAATATAGCGAAAGATGCTGGTTCACTTTAGGATGATGTTGAACGGCGAGAGAGTTTCCACATGTCAGTAGAAGAAACAAGTCATCGACCTAATTTGAGGTTTTAGATGGATTGTGAATTCAACAGTATTAATGGGAGCAGTTACAGATTCGGAACAAACCATCAGTCAATATATTAACCAAAGGTTGGATTAACCAGTTTAATTCTGAATTGTTAATTTGAACCCTTTCATGCACCCTGTAATCTGATCACATGATAAACTGTCCACTGTAGTAATCGCTGTCCCTGAAAGTGTTAATCAAAACAATCGTATGCTTTCAGCTTTGTGGGGTAAATTGATGGAAGGTTTTTTTTCCTCACTCACCAGTGAACAAAGCAAGGACCCTAAAGGTATGCTAGGATAATTTTAGTGTGAATGAATATGCCGACCATGACACCTTTATGATGAACTACAGTAGAATACAGATTGCAACAGGTCAATCTTCCAATGAATGCTATATTTGGACAACAAAAATGCTCTGTTGTTACTAAAATGATGCATTGGGTTAGAAAAATCAAGAATATTTTTAGTGCGGTCAATATCAATCAATCAATTGATAATTTTTAATAATCGAGTAATCGTTTAGAGCCATTGTTTATTGTAGAATTGTCCAAATCCTCTGATTTCAGCCTCTCGACAATAATTGTTAATTGATTTGTGTACTCATTCATGAAAAAAGACTAACTTAAGTAACTTACATCATATGTTTTGCCTCAAAATTGAACATGTCGCTATTACCAATCAGTGAGTGGACAAATCTCCCATCGGAACACTGAAAACTGATGTAATATATTTGGCAAAGGAAGTGGTTGGTTACCACAGGAATGCACTATTTTGCCATTGAAACAGTATTTTGGGTTGGACAAAAACTTTGAATAGCCTATGACTTTTGTTTATTTGTTTCGCTGCTAAAATATTCTATTAAAGCCACTATTCTTTAAAGCCTGTGTGGATATTATTATTTTTCCACAACACGTGCAAGCTGTTATAGCTCCCAACATTTGTCCATATAGTGCATCACACATTACATGATTCTGTACAACAATCCAAAATTCACACCGCTCTGAGTGGAGTTCCTCATGGAAAGGTTTCGGGTCCATTAATGTTCTTAAAGGTTTGAAGCTGTCTGCCTTAGTAATATCAATGTGTAATAAAATTTAAATAAAATGTCAACGAACAAAAAATAATTCTGAAAAGTCCCTCACTTGTTGTGGAAGTCGTAGATCTCCTGCATGTTGCCGAAAATGACATGTTCCTTGTTGGCGATGGCAGGCGGGATCTCGTCCCCGCCCCTGGTCATCTCACATAAGTAGGTCTGGAATAAACAGCGATGATTACAAATTAACATTTGCTTTTTCAATAACACAACCAACAAAACACAGGCCACCACAAAGGTTTACATATATTTGTCATTTCATGCCTCAAATGAGGATAAATGTAATAACAACCTACACAAAAAATTACAATCTGATCAGATGTCTTTTTATACAGAAGCTTAATAGGTGATATGGGATTCTCTAAATTGTTACCAAATGCATAATCTGGATCAGATGTGGATTAAATGTGATCATACATAGCAATGTGAGAAGCTCTAAAGGAGGTGTGTTGTCTTTAAAACGGTAGACAGGAAGTTGCACATAATACAGGGTTTTGCCCGGAATTAAAATTTGAACGGCCTGGTGAACAAAAGGCTTGTTTTCTCACCTCCAGACATTCCTGGAGATCTCTGACGTAAGTCTTCTCCGTCTGCAGGAGCTCAGCCATGATGAACCTAAAGAAAGACAGTTTTTATGTGAATAAAACCCCTCAAAATACAAACTATAATTTCAAGAAAAAGGTTCACAATAGTAGCAGTAGTAGTAGTAGTCGTAGTAGTAGTAGTGGTAGTAGTAGTAGTAGTAGTAGTAGTAATAGTAGTAGTAGTAGTAGTAGTAGTAGTAGTAGGTTTGAGCCTGGACCACTTTGATTTCACATTGTGAGTTCAGTTAAAACAGGAGCCAGTTCTCTTTCTGGACCACTGACTGGGCCTCCATGAATGCAATTTTCAGGCAAAGCAGAGCCAACCTGGCCCAATTTGTCAACACAATGCGTGTTCAGTTAAAGCCACGAGTTTTGCAAAAAAATGCTGCCTCATCACTCCGGTTTGTTTGGGTTCCAAGTTGTACTCACTCTTTCTTCCTCGCCGACTTCCTCTTCTCCTCATTGACCTCATCGTTGGGCTCCCGCAGTTTGATCTCGGGGTCGTCCGACAAGCTGGCGGGAATAATATCCAACTCTAAGTCCTTGTTGTCCTGAATAATGATGAGCAAAAGAATAAAAACATGATGTGATTGAACATAGTGTAAATGTACTGTATGACAAATGTGAGCTATTCCCACCTCGGAAGAGACGCCCAGGCTCTTTTCCAAGCTCTCCTGGTACTTGGCCATTCGCAGGGAGAAGTCGCGGTAGCGGCGGTCTACCGTGCTCACCCATCGCTTCAGCTCCACAACGTGGACGTGGCCTTTCTCTACCAGGTTGTCAGCCAGCTGGATGAGGAGCTTCACCTTCTCCTTTGTTTGCTGGTGGCACGAGCGCACAATCCTTAGTGCACTTTTTTTTTTTTTTTTTTGGTTGGGCTTTCAACATGGGCCAAAAATTGTATCGTCTCCTTCCATTTAGACAAATTATGACATATTTTCAACTTCACCACTAGGTGAAGCACTGTAATGCAAGGATCCCCAAGACCACATTGAAAAAAGGTAAAATCTTGTGCAAAATTCTTTATGCTTTACTTTTTTAGGTAAAACTTTTGCATCTACACATTTACTAAACATTTCAATAAATATTTATATCACAAGGAAGACTAATATTGAAATCCTGGATTTTGATCTTGTGCGATTGGCTGGCAACCAGTTCAGGGTGTCCCCCGCCTACTGCCCGAAAACAGCTGGGATAGGCTACAGCACGCCTCGCGACCCTTGTGAGGATAAAGCGGTTCAGAAAATGGACGAACGGATGGATTTTGATCTTTATTGAGACATTGGTAAACAACATTTTTTGTTGGTGTTCCACTGACACTTTTGCATGTTTTTGTGTGTGTTTTATTCTTCATTTTTGATTGTGGCGATATTATTGTTTGTTGTACCATTTTGGTATTTGTAAAAAAGAAAAAAAATTGCGAGGCTCCTATAAAAGATTTGAATCTAATGAGAATAAACTTTTATTTTTTCAGATAAAAAGTCTTGTGGGGAAAAAAAGTTGCATTTTACATGAACATCATGTTTTGTCTTCCTTTCCCTTTGTCAAATTGAGACTCTTCTTTTTCTTATAAAAAGATGGATTTATTCTGGGGAAAAAAAGAGTTGGTTTTTTTAGTTTTTTTTTTTAGTATTATATGTATTTTTTTTTTCAGAATGGCCCTACAACTCCACTTCTAAATAGTATAAGGGCATCTCTAAATTTACACTATTGCTTAGGCCCCCATTGTAATTTTGTACTCCATTTTATTATGTTTGCATGATTTGCCTTTGTTGACTATAAAACGGATTTTGATTTGACTCTTCTTGCTTGTTGTGGTTGGGGTACAACTGCACTGCATCACACCGAGAGCTGCTTCTCATGTCGTCACCCGAACCAAATAAGGGTGACCTTGATATTACAAACAACTGCCAGTGTGCCGTTGCTGCATTTGTGACAGCGTCAATAACAGCGTTATTATCTTGTACACGCAGTATTTTCACTTTGGTTGGATCGCATTAGCTCAGATGCAGGGGACCTGGTAAGCCAATAGCAACAGACGCACACGTGCTGCGAGCGTGCATGCACGCGACGTACCTTGGCAGTGAGCCGAAAGTGATGATGGTCATTGAGGAGCTGCTGTGTTTCCTTGCTGCTGTCACCAGATGACACGTGCGTAGCCAGGTAGACCTCACCTGTCTCCTGGATCCATTCAAGAGCCTGCACGCGCACACACACACACACACACACACACACACACACACACACACACACACACACACACACACACACACACACACACACACACACACACACACACACACTATATTTATGATATGATTGAGGCTCTTAAAAAAAATTCCCATCATAAAATACACCAGATGTCTCTTTAGTGCTGCACTTTAGCTCAAAGTGCGCACACGCACACGCACACACACAGACACACACCTGCTTGGCGCTGCGTTCAAAGACAAGATACTGCTGACATTGATCCAGTCTCCTCTTCTTCAGAGTCCAGAAGTGCAGGACTCTGTTTTCCCTCTGCAGCAGCTCATTCAGAATAGCTGAAAAAACAAAATCAAGAAGTCTCGCCTTGGTCCATTTCTCGTATTTCGCAACACTAGTTTTGGAAATGTAACCCAAATGTGTTTTTTTTTTCTTTTTTTTTTTTTGGCAGGGGCTGTAACAGATTAATTTTCATGGTTCTGGTTATTGGTCTATGTGTTTTTATTGTTTTGTTTTGTTTCTCCAGTCTCCTGGGTTATGATGATAATGATAATCAACTGGGTGGGTTGAAGTGCAGGAGAAGCAGATGAAAGATGATTATTGTATTACTTGCCACTACTTGGCATCATCATTGCCTTTTATGCTTTGTCTCTTGTGCATCTGACTGTCACTTCTTTTTTTTTCTTCTTTTTTTGCTGCGTATTATACACTTAGGCAGATTCCATTTCGATGTTTCCTTTATTGGTGCAAATGCTGAGTTGTTTTTCCCAACTGATTCGCTGGTTGGCTTTGGATTATGAGCAGACTTGGTTACCGGTACTTTCACCCAACAATGAGTTAATTGCTTTGACCCGTCAAGTTGGGTTTAAGCAGCGACTTGAGCAGGCTGAATAGCTCATGGTGATCATGTGTACTAAAGTTAAAGCAAATTTAATGGTCCATGCTTAGACAGCATTGGTGGCAACTGCACACAGCTGACCGTAAACACAGGGCACAGGGTTCAAATCTCAGTCAGGGAGAATGGAGCATCCATGGATTATACTCGGTGGGTTGTGTCAGGAAGGGCATCAAGTGTAAAAACTGTGCAACACATATCATGCAAGTGACTCGCTGTGGCAACCCCCGAGAAGGGAAATTATGTCTTCTTCTTACAACATGTTGGTAATATACATACTGAGTATTATTATTTACAACCACAACTATACTGATCACCTGGTAATCCTTTTTTATGTGGCTTTAACATAACCCAGTGCACAGGGTAGAAATAACCCAGAATTGGTTCTGTCCCTTTTGGACCCAGTACTGGGTGAGCTATTTTACCCAATTTGGATTACTTTTGACCCAGCAGTTTTAACAGCACATTTTCTTTCCACTATTGTTTCACCAATTATTTGCCGAAACCGCTTGTTGTCGTTTTTGGTTTGTTAACTTTGTGGTTGATTCTCATGATCCCTTTGTAGATAAACTCAGTTATTCCCCCTTAATTTATTTGTCTGCTTTGTGGTCCAAGATTGGGTGTGTATGTGCCATTAGATGAATGGCATTTCAATTAATTTCAATGGGGACAAGTGATTTGATCGATGAGTAACTTGGGTTACGAGTTTGGTCTCGAAATGAGCTAAACTTGTAACTCAAGTTAGAACTGTATATTAATGCATTATAGTGCTATTGTCTCTGGTGGTCTAAATGTGTTGTTGCTCTACCTTTGACTTGCTGCTCAGGCCCTCTGGCGTGACTGGCAGCTCCTGGGATGCTCACGTTGTTCCTGTGGATATACTTGAGGAAAACCTCGGCGTTCCTCCGGGCTAGTGTGCATGCCTAAATAATAGCAACATGGCGATAAAAAAAAAAAAAAAAAAAAAAAGTGAACAAACTTCTACACAAAATATGTGACATGCTTTCATCATCATAGACAAGATTGGACCATCATTCTTTCCCTACATGCATTCTTTTTTTTTTTTTTAATCGCACAGTGATTGAGATACGATATGTATTCAGGGTTGGAAGCTGTAAGGTACACCTAGTTTCGTCCCAAAGTGATCAAGAGATGTTCAGACACTAATATCAATTATAATGTCAACTTAATTTAGGCTCTTATTACATTGCGTTGTCCAGGATACTAAAAGGCGACAACATTTAAGCCTTGGCCAGGACCAAGAAATGCACTGACCTTGAGGAAGGCTTCTTTCTGTTCCAGGTGTTTGCTGATCAGAGGCACAAGGTGGTCACAGTCGGCCGGCGTTCCCACTTTTTCGTGAGTTCCGCACCAGTCTTCATCCCGTCGGTATTCCTGCTCCAGGCTCTCTAACACGCTGCAAACCTGGACGTGGCCGTGGCATCCGTATTTGCGATGTTACTGCATATAAGTGAGTCAGACGCCTCCACTTACGAATGTGCACGTGTACCTGTTCAGATGTCTTGTAGAAGGCCACCGAGGCGTTAACAAGTTTCAGGCGGTCCTCCATCTTCAGCATTAGCTGCTGCCAGTGGACGGCCACCTTCTCAGCGCAGTTGCGAATCGCCTCTGGGTCATAGTGGCCGGCCTGGAGCATCATCTGGAACGAGGGAGGATAATTAATTATATAAAAGTCATACTAATTAATTATATATAATTTATTGATTACAATTAATATATATAAATACATACATCTCTATCGATCGATCGATCGAGAGAGAGAGAGAGAGAGAGAGAGAGAGAGAGAGAGAGAGAGAGAGAGAGATAATATAATATATTAATTAAAGATAAGTTTGTCGATTTTTGACACACACTGATTTTAATTTGTGACAATCACTATTGCATCATTGTCAATTTACCAAAGAGCTTGTTTTCAAAAGTACATATGGCGAGGATACATGTTACGCTAAATTTAAGCATTTCTGAATTCAATAGTTCAGGAGAAGTAGCAGGGACAAAAATGTACAGGAAAAGTCACTGATAAGAAGCGCCACGATCCGACAAATTGTTTCGGAAAAGGAATAGCATGCTCTGTCCAGTGCACCTTTTGCTTAGTAATCTAAAAACAAAAAGATGACAAATCACAAACATTTGGAGATGCTTTTCATTGGACAGTGACTATAAGCAGCAAAGATGCAGTAAAGGAGGAATCTCTACATTTCGTATTTTTTTTTCTGTTGACGTTAGAAGAATTCAGAGATACGAAAGTTTCATTTCAAAGTCTTTTGGTGCTGCTTTAAATTTAGTTAGTTAGTTAGTTGACTAAAAGCTTACTTCCGCTTTCTGCTGGACTTGCAGTGCACTCTGATGGGTCTTCTGGAGGGAGTTAGCATGGAAGAGAGACTAAGGGGGAGAAGAAGGGACAACGGGAAATGACTTGTTAGACTTCGTTGAAATAGAGGATGACATTATTTCAGTGTATGTGTACCAAATGTGACTGATATGTGTGCCTGGGTGTGTGTGTGTGTGTGTGTGTGTGTGTGTGTGTGTGTGTGTGTGTGCTTTAAGTTCAAAAGAGTGTGTGGGTGTATGGCTGATTGCACATCTGCTACTGTTGAAAACATGCAAAAACAATTATTGCTCCAGTACAGTTAGACTGGCAGCGGCTATCATTTTATGCATTTGTGTGCGTGCGTGCGTGCGTGCGTGTGTGTGTGTGTGTGTGTGTGTGTGTGTGTGTGTGTGTGCGTGCGTGCGTGCGTGCGTGCGTGCGTGTGTGCGCACATGAACACACCTCTATTGCCATCTGGAACTGTTCGTGTTCCCTCTGCAACTGCTCTGCCTCAGACAAAGAGCTGGCATTCACCATGCTGGCGTTCAACATGGACTCGCCATTACGGATCCATCCGAGCACCTCAAGGATATGAAGAGGAGGTGATGATAAGTGACGTCATCTGCAAGACCAACCTATTTTTTTCCCTCCAATGTAATGTGATACACTGCAGCCAGTGATGGCCAAGCGGGCGTGTCATAACTAATTGAGATGTTGAGTCGGGTATGTCTTAACCTCCATGGCAGAGGCTCCGTCGAACCCCTGAGACTGATTCATCGAACCCCTAGGGTTCGATCAAACCCAAATTAAGATCCACTGCTCTAGTTATTCAAAGCGGCAGCCATATATCAATAACACCAATAAACACCGCTGACTTCTACGATGGAAAAGTGTGCTGTGGTCTGACGAGTCCACCAAGCTATCAAGGCAAAGTTCAAAATTCAGCATATGTGCTGCTGCTAATGCCCACGGGACGGGTAACTTGCAAATTTATGAAGACACAATTAATACAACGGCGCGGTTTCGTAGGAAAACAGTACAAGACTGGTCTGCCAGCAGTCCAGACCTGTCTCTGTCTCCCATTGAAAATGTCTTGTCTTTGTAGTGCATTCAATTGAATATATGCTCAAAAGCAATTGCAAATTATTGTATTGTTTTTATTTAAAAACCCTGGGGAACCCACGGGGTCAAATTTGGCCCCTATAAATTCTGCTACTCAAATGCTACCCTTAAATACCAAAGGGTCAAATTTGGCCCGAATCCTAAATTAGGATTAAAGCATGAAATATTTGGAAAAACATTTATTTTGGTGTTCACTGAACATATAGCAGTCATTTAATGTATAATTCATCATTTTACAAAGAAGAAAAAGGTGGTTGGGTTCTCCAGGGTTAACACAACATCCCAACTTTACTGGAATATGGATTTTGGATATACAACTGTGTTTGTGCAAATAGACATCGGACCCGTGCAAAGTAACATGGCTCGGCACTGTTGGGTGTGAATATGTTGCGGATTAAAAACAAAAGTGTTTTCAATATTTAGTCATTTTTTTGTTTGTTTGTTTGTTTGTTTTTTTGCTGTGGGGTTTCCTCCATTTTACAAATATATCATTGTTATTTTTTAAGGAAATAACAAAAAAAAAATTATTTTTTTGCCTCAATAAATTTGAATGGCTGTCGGTTCTATGGGGATTCTTGCTATTCACAGGGTGGCCCAGTCCTTATCCTCCGCAAATAGGGTGTGTTCATAATCTGTTGGTACGGCTTACTGGTGGTGCAGCTATGTCTCACTTCTGCTTTTTTTTTTTTTTTTTGGTCAAAGCTCAAGCTTTTTTGGATTGGCTGTTACAATCAGGTTAGGCACAATTTGAACACTTCTGCATGCTTAGACGTTGTTCTGTAGCAATTCAAATTTTGAATGACAACAAAACCAGTTGTTGAGGATAAAATTTAGTTGCCAAAGTTCTTCATATTGCACAAGAGTTGAAACAGCTTTGGCCATGCCGCATAGTGTGCAGCGGGCCGAACATGCATGGTTTTGGAATGTGGGAAGATTCTGGAGAATCTGGAATAAAAGCAACACAAGCACCAGGAGAATTTGCAAACATCTGCACAAGAGGGCTGAAACTGAGATTCCAACCCGCAGAAGTATGACAAGAATGCTACTAAATCCAAATTAGGATTGTCAGATTTGGCCGAAGTTTGCACTCGACTGCGTGATCATTATTTTAATGATTCACTCAGCGTTTTCGTGCGAATCCTCACTTCATCATAAATTTAGACTGAGATTTGCACAAGCACGTCAAGTAAAGCTGGCGAGGTAGCAGCGTGTTTATTAGCACTTTGCCATAAAAGCTCATTAATAATTCAGTTGCCTCCATCTGCAACGGCAACAGCGGCAGTACAATAAAACATGATATTCCTTCAAAGTTTAATTCAATTGTGCTACCACTCAAGAGATGTGCTCACCTGTTTGACCTCAGCTTGTAAGTGACGTAGTTGTAGGCTTTGCTCCAGTCTAGCATGCGTGCGCTGGGCGCTGAGCTCCACTTCCTGCTGTTTCTCGTGCAAGAACTCCAGTAGTTCCTGAACCTGAGAGGCCAAGTCCATGTCCTTCTCCCCCGTCAGCTCAATACCTGGCAGAACCACTTGTTACAAACACTGAAAGTGATTTTTTGGGGGGGTGATATTTTTCGATGCAGAATATTCGCCCTTGTCATTATTTTGCCTGCGATTGGCTGGTGACCAGCTCAAAGTGTACCCCACCTATTGCCCAAAGACAGCTGAGTAAGGCTCCAGCACGCCCGCGACCCTTGTAATGATGAGTGGTTTGGTAAATGAACGAATGAGTGAATATTATTTTGTGTTTTGTGTTAAGCCGTGCGGCGGGATTCAGTTCTTTCCATATTCACGGGTTGATTCAACTCTTGTGTGTATGTATCTACTGTATTGCTCTTGGCTTTAAAAAAAAGTAGTTTCGGAAGATGATGTAACACAGGCATTTGCAGAAATAAGTAAGAGCTACAACAGCAACGGCCAGCACTCGAAAAATAGAGAAGTATACAGACGTACAAAGGACAATGCAAAGAAATAAGAATGAGGATATTCGTCCAAATTGCGTAGTCTGGACTGTGGCCTTTTATGGAGCAGAGACGTGAGTGCTCCAGAAGAAAGCAGAAATGATTGATGCACTGGAGATGTGGTTTTGGAGAAGGATGTTAGGAGTGTCATGGGAGATGAGGAGATGTATATGTATATGTATTGCAGGAAGCTGCTGGAGTGAAAAGAGAACTGCTGAAGACATTGAAAGCTCGGAAGAAAAAGTGGCAAGGACACACATTACAGGGAGGGAGTTTATAACGTGCAGTCATTGAAGAAATGCTTGAAGGGAAATAGGGAAGAGGAATACTCTTCAGGGAGGAATACCATACGGAAAATTTAAAAGGATGGCGGAAGATAGAGAGAGATGGATGATGTCAGACCTGGAGGAGGAGCTGCCATTAAGACGGATTGCTTTCGAAGAAGAACAAGCTTTGCGATTCGCAAAGGGTGAATCAAGGCAACTGGATGTTCCTTTCTTTCTCCCTTGTAGAGGCCAACACTTTCGGATTAAAGGTGGAACGTATTCAACAAACAACAACAGTTCAGTTGCCCCGATTCAACCTTCACTATGACCTGGATGGCTAAAAGTCTACACAGACAAGAAGATTTGTGTACATTTCATTGTTCCAAATCAATGACAGATCAATAATTGGTTTGTATTGCTCCCAATCAATGATCAACACAATTTATTTGCAATTCATTCACTGCAAAAGGCGCCCTACCTGAGGCCTGCACTTCCATGATGTATTGATGCAAATCCTGGCCTTGCTGCATGACTTCATAGGTCATGTTGTTCATGGCTGCCTTTCTCTCAGCATGCCTCTTCAGCCTCTGCTCAGCCAGGCCAATGTCCTCCGCGCCGCCAGAGGAAGCACCGCCGCTCCCTCCACTGCCGCCGCTACTGCTGCTGCTGCTGCTCGAGCGTCCCGCATCGTTAAGCTGTCGAGACAGGTCCTCGTTCCAGGCGTCTAATTCAGCCGTCACCTGAGTAAACGGAACAGCAGAAGCATGATGACAGCAACAAGTATGTTGCCAAATGGGCAGCTTTATATTTTTAAAAAAATCATAATTTAAATAATCTGAATAATAATGATTTTACTAATACAGACAAAATACGTATATATTTCTTTTTACAAAAAATAAATGACTAATACCAACATTTATGTTTACAATTTGAGTTCAAAGAAGGCATTTTGTTGTATAAATATTTTTATGATAAATTAAAAGTAACTTGAATACAGGTCTATACTTGAATAGAGATTTACTTAAGAATGTTGAAAACATTGATCCGTGAGACAAATCTGTGAGTCAGTCAAAACCAAAACAATATGGAAAGAAGTGTAGTGATTATGTTTTACTAAAAAAAAAAAAAAAAACACACACACACAAAATATATGAATAAAAATCAAATAACAATAAAACAGAATTGTATTTATTTTTATTAAATAAAATATCCGATAAATAAAGGGTTTAAAATGATAATCACCATCAACAATTCAGGGCTGGCATCGACGTCAAATCAAGAAGTAAACAGGAAGGGTGTGGACTTGACTTAAAAGTTATAATTTTATACAAAACATTATACTTGAAATGAAGATTTCATTGCAGATGGAATTAGGTTTGACACATCAAGGAAAGGAGTGAAACTGAGTCACTATAACTAACGTGAAAAAAAAAAGTCACCTCGATGGTATACTGCTCAAAGACGCGTAGCTGGAGGAAGATGTCGAGTTTGATTTTGCGCTCATGGAACAGTTCCTCCATCTGGCTCTGGGCCTCATCCAATTGCTGCAGCACTCCCTGGATGTGAGCGATGGAACTGCAGTGTGGTGTCTTATTGGTGGACATGGCAGCGTCTCTGCAGGAGACAGATGGGAACATTCCATACAAAATATGGCAATGTCGAGGCTAATCCAGTGGAACCCGCTACATTGCAAATCATCGATTGCACCCTCGCTATATCGCAAATTTTTGAGCTATTGTTTTTTTGTTTTTTTTAATAGGTTTTACAGTGTCCAGGAAAATCCAAATTTAGAATCACACGCCTTTGGTTCTATACCACGTTGTTGTGCAACATGCTTGTTAGCACTAAAGTCTCCTGGAAGGGATGCATCACAATAAACATCAAGAAGGCGATGTACTCAACTACTCTAAGTCATTACCACTGAGCAGAGAGAATTCACTGTATGCTTGTTAGTATTGTTGAATGTTTGATTGTATGCTTTGCTGCGAGTTCAAGAGCAATTGCTTGAAGGTTTACAATAACAATAACATCCATGCTAAATTAGGTTCAACGGTCTACGGGATTTCAGATTTTATGTTAGCCTTTAGGGCACATGACTAATGTTCAGTGTTTAAATAAACACTGTTTAATTCTCCTTTGTTAAAAGTTGTTTTTTCTGTAAACGACAACTTCAAAATTAGCCGCTTAAAAGGAGCACACTTTTCATTTTATTTGGGGAAACTGTACAAACGAGTCTTTTTTTTGTGTGTGTTTCCGATTTCTTGACAGTGGAAGACGCACGTACTTAAAGGAACACTTTAAAAAGTCTTTTTTATTAAGTTTAATGCATCAAAAGCATGTGGTTTCTCTATATCGCAGATTTTCACCTATCCCAGATGGGGCTGGAAAGTATCACCGACAATAAACGGAGATTCACTGTATGCTAACATATCCATCCTGTATTATTACATTACCTGAGTTGCTGCATAAGCTCTTCCCCCTCCTTGATGACATTGAGAGTGGCTTCCAGAGTGGCTGTCTGCTGCTGCTGGAACTGCTGAATTAGTGTCTGCACAGAATCTACAGAGTCGCAGCTCACGTCGTCCAGTAGCTGCTTCTGGAGCTCCTCCATCCAAGACCACAGCTAGACCACGATACAAAGCAGTGAGGAACACCAACGTTACAAAGCATAAATGCAACATCCAGCATCATTTAAACAGCCACTCCCAGGCTAAAGCAAGCTGTTTCGCCAGCTAATGAGTATTGCATCAAACTGTTAAGCAATCAGCCAATAAAGCCCATCTAGGCAGTGTATCAACACCTTTGTCATTACTTCACTGTTGGCCTCTGATCCCGTGCTAATAAGAAGGGAGTTTGTAAAGTTGGAACTTGGACGCTGGACCGGAGTGAAGGTTAGCTTAGTTTAGCGCTAAACTAGCTGATACAACAGAACACAAGACGGAATTCAAAAATGTAACAAAAGTGGATAAACACCCCAGGTACACTCTAATATGTTTTCAAAAATAGTGAGTAAGGGGCTTCGTAAATTGCTTTGGGCAACAGGTGCAAAGTACAACATAAATGGCTCTTCATTTACCATTTGTTGTTATGATCAATTTGGACTTTGGACATTTTTTTGGACTACTATGATGTCTTATATCGGCAAAAATACAATTCATGAATTTAAGTGTTTTGGATTTTGTTCTCTTACTGTACTCAATGTGAACCAAGCTTTAACCATAAAACCATGGCATACCCCCCCCCACTCACCCCCCAGCTATTACCTGTATACATTTCTATGGTTTCACTGTTATAATCATTCCCCTGCAGTCTACCAAACGTACAGTGTAGCAAATAATTAAACATTTTCATTTAGTCTCGAAAGATTTTTAATGTTTCAAAAATATATATTTAAATAATTCAAATTCATGTACAAGTGTTAACACTTACATACTGTATGTGATGCACATTTGTGACTTTTGATACAAATGTACCAAAAGTCACAATTACCAACAGTAATTAACCCATTTTTACACTCGTATGAGAAAAAATCTATGGGTGGGCACCTCTCCAATAAAAGACAATTTGATATGTATCGAGATACAAGAACAGTACATTTTCAAGTGGGATAATTCGATTCAATTCAATTTCGCGGGATTACAATCTTGATTTGATGCGGTACGGCTGTAGCTTAAGCGTTTCGATTCAGTTCAGCTAAATTGGCACAGATTTCCCAATTCATTACACTCCTTGCCAACAGAGTTAAGGTTTTGATGATAGGGATGTGACAGTGTTTCACCTCTTTGGTGTGCGTGTGGAAGGACACGGACATGTCAAGCAGCAGCTTCCTGTGCTCAACACGGCGTACAAAGTCTTGTATTCGAACTTCCAGGTGGCGCGCCGCCTTGTAAATCTCCTCCGGGTCGCACTCGCCCGTCTGGGCCAGCTGCTCGGCTGCCTCCAGTAGCTTGTCTGCATTAGTATATGTGTTCTGGAAGGGAAACATACAACCATTACTATGACTGATGTTTATTTTGCAATATGTTATGATTCAGTAGCCCAGATGTCGTTCATCTTTTGCAGAAAATTACAAAAAACAGGATGTATTTTTCCAATGCAATGTGCCTAACATTTCTCTTGGTCTACCATCACCCCTACTCAGCCATTCTGAATATGCTTATATTTATATTTTATCATTTATATTTACTTATCCGTTTTGTTCTTCTACTTCTCCCTTTCATAATTTTTGCTGCTGTAAATTGGTAATTTCTCCATTGTGAGACAAACAAAGGTTTTCTTATCTTATCTTATCATGTTGCAATGTATCTAGAGTGAACCAGTGTTTGGCACTCATAAATTTGCCTGTTTACGGATTTTGACGGGGAGAACCTGTTCTCCATTTTTTGACGAAGAAGTCACAAATCACTCATTTGTTGTAATGTAGGCATGCCAATCATAACAGGCATCACCTCTGAGATTGGCTTTACACAGCATCGTTCAAGTGACAGAATTTCAATGTTTTGCTCTTAATTGGCACAATTGATTTGTGTATGAATGGCTGCGTAAATGGTTGAAAAAAACAATCCTCTCATTACAATTGCAGCCTCATCAATGAGTGTGCCAATAAAAACACCAGAGGTAAATCTAAACGACAGCCAAAGCAGATCCAATTGAGAATGGTAAATGAGAAGAGTGCTGATCATTAGACACGGAAAATAATTGCACACTGTAGCCAGTGGTGTAAAGATATGGAGGTGACCATCAATCAGATCCCTGTACCTGTCAATCACATTTTATATTTACATTGTTTGCGTAAAATTGTGTACTTGCGTGTTGTCACTGCCGGGGGGTTGACAGTGCGGTAGCGAGATTATGAACATGCAATTTGGCATCGCTACATATGGGTTGTTTCATGCGTGTTCACTAAGTATAAACACAACTGGCTATCTGTCACTTCAAATGTATACATGAACCGACAATCGACAAATTGAATAGTTGCATTTAAATCGGAATGATACACTTCGACCTGTAGTGTAAATCCATCCTGGGGGCTCCCTAATGCAGTCGATTTCACACAGACATCTCCACTTTTAAACAGATCAGATCCAAACGGATTATTGTGGTTGTACTACAAAGCATTTAAAACACCAGGGTAGAAATGCTGTAGTGCATTTCACACCACCTTCTTAAACACGAGAGTTGTTTTGCAAGAGTGTTGAAGCATGAAATAAGAACTGAGAAAAGAATAGGGCCCCATCGATTAATAGATTATGGCACTTTAAACATTGACCCAAATGATCAACCAAATGCCTGATGTTTGACGATGTTTTTATCTCTATGTACCTTAACCATTTACAGCAGTTTAACACAAGTAACACTGGTTTCATTATTTATTTCACACAAATCTATACTATAACCTTGTATCCTTAAATATATACCATGAAACTCGTCGATAAGGTTATTCGATGGACCCGTCATTAAAAAAAAAAAAAAAGCAAGTCTTAATATTTACAAACAAAAAAAGGAACCAGGTCGGCCCGCGCGAATAGCGAAAATCAGCATATAATTGACGCCCACCGAAATGCATTGGAAGGAATTACAGCATGCATTATTCATTTTTAAATTAATCGGCTAATCAATTGGTAATCTGCATTTTTTTTCTGCCAAAAATTGTCATGTGCCTAAAAAAAAAATCCAAATGCGTCAGGCCCCATAAAAGAAACAACCAAAAATGGTTTCAGAATCTTTAATGTGGCTTCATAAGCTTTACTGCTCAACACTGCTGACAGGGATGAAAAAAAATGGGATCAAACTAATAAATCTTTTTTATGTAAGAAAATAAGGAACAAAACCCAACCCAAAATGTATTACAAAGGCAGGGAGCATAAACTAAGAGCTAAAAAAAAAATAAAACCGTCACCCTTTCATCACCTTGGATGGGGTTTAATGAGATTTACCGTGAAACACTGCTGAGGGCTTATCATTTTTGTGCACGGATGCACACACCAACACAAGCACACATTCCACACACATGTGCGCGGACATACACCGTAATAATATATGTCAGATTATGTTGTCTCATGATTCAGAATAAACGACAACGGGGTTCTGTTTTGCCAAGTATGAGCCATTACAGCTGCCATACTTCCTCTTCTTCATCTTTAAAGACACATCACGTCTCGGCATCTTCAACTGGGATGAGATGTCTGGATATTCCCGCATGTAGGGGGAGGATTAGTCGGAAGATAAAGATTATAATTTACAGGAGATTAATACTTTGTGCTGCATGACTGCTTTGCTTTGGGGTGGGGGGTGGTGGGGGGGGGGTTCAAGGATTATTGAAAATGGATAATCATCCACATCAAGTGAATACAAAAAGCTGGGCAAAGTGATGGCAAAAGAGCGAAAGGTGATTTCTGCGCACAGTGAAAATGGTCGTCCTGACAACAGAAAAAAAATCTTACATTAAAGCTAAAATGTCATTACCATGACCCAAATCGAAAACAAACATTGTGTTATCAGCATTTCTATTGACAGTAGCATGTTGTAAAATGGATGACATTTAACAGCAACAGATCACATAGGTGCTCATGAGACAACTTGTTGCTCGTTTCTTTGTCCCAATTAATGGTAATGCACAGCACACAAAGTGGTTCATGTTTACCCTCTCTATTTCGTAGAGAGCGCACCTGTGTCATGGCACAAATGCTGTCTGAAGATGACTTTCGCCATCTCACATTAAAAAAGTGCAGTATTACATTTTCTTAATTTTATTTTGTCAAGTGAAATGAAATCATTCGGATACACATACGTTTTTAAATAGACAACTACTTAAAAAAATGTATCTGGATTTTGTGCAACCACTTAACATAATCAAGTGGTTGGCATGGCTCAGTTGTAGAGCAGTCAGTTCCCAACCCAGAGGTTGGTGATTTGATCCACGGCCAGTGCGACCATTTGGAAGTGTCTTTAAGCAAGATACTGACAGTGTGAAGTGCTTTGAGCGCCCGAGGTAGAAAAGCGCTGTACAAGTAACGGCCCATTTTTCCATTTTATCAAAATTCAACACACTGTTTTCTTTTTTTCCAGTGCAGCGTATGTGTGTCCTGTCAACGGCGGAGTAACAAGTGGCAGAAAGTCAGTCGAAGCCTACGCTTGGTCAGATTGCGTCTAAATACTGGCATAGCTGATCTGTTAACTGTTTTAGATGAATTTGATCAGGGCACAGACAAATTTTGAGCTCCATTGACACATGCAGCGTTTGTCAGACAATTTCATTAATAAATATAAGAACGGCTAGCATCAAAACCTTTGAAGCATTGTATTATTTTTATTTTGGAGGGTTGAGGGGGGGCTCTGAACAATCCATGTTTGGCATGGTCTCCAAGTGCCCACTTCTCAGCTGATGTACTTCCACCATTTTGAGACACCAGTGCATGAATACTGACCGCACTGTATTTACAGTTAAAGTCATGGAAGAAGCCACCTAGATTGGCCATGATTGAAGTCGACAGTTATCACTCCCATAACGGCGCAGGCCTCCCTTTCGCATATTTCCCAGCCTGCACTAGTCTGCGAAAATACAAACATCAGGTCTAATCCGCCTCTGCACAGAAACATGCTATGTTCCGGGTCAAATCTGACAAGGCCAAGAACATCCGCATTATAATTGTCTATCAAATTATAAAATCTATATATATATGTTCTGAATGTATGAATAAATAGTCTGACATTAATAAACATATGATCAATTCATAAGCAATGTATCAGAGTAATGGGAACGTGTATATTTATTTACTGCATTGTAGGTACTAGCTTTTGCAGGTTACAAATGGCGTCAAGGCACTCACAAAAGTTCCTTATGTATGATTTATGTATGCACTTTGTATATATGTATGATCATTTTTATACGGTTTTACACTTTCACTGTTTATTCCCCCACAACACTTCCAAGACCAGCATGTTTCTGCAGTGGCCTGTGCCAATAGAATTGGAACACAGACATTTCTCTGGCCTGTTTAAACTTCCCTGTGTATACTGTTACAACACTCCCTTAAAAGAAAAAATAAATACACACATTTATGACATGTATCATTTCATAGTTTCAAGATTTGCACCATTAGAATCATGATGTTTTATTGCTGTCAAATGTCACAATATTTAAGGGCTAATCCGTGTAAACAATGCAAACTGTAGTTTACATCACTGCAAATTCTTTATAGGATTAACACGCATGATTCTCAACGGCTAATTCACTGACCAGTCACTTCATTATAGGTCCACCCAGAAAAAAAAACAGCGTTAACTCTTTCGTGCACCCTGTAACCTAATAACATGATAAGATGTCCAATGCAGTAACTGGTGTCCCTGAAAGGGTTAAACGTATTATGAAGCCCATTTTTAATTGAAAAATACATTTATTATAAGCGCACTCCATTTTACTGAGAGCTGTTCTTCAGGTAATCTTTTGATAACCTTCCAGTCATCATAGTAATAGAAAAAGCTTTGTGTGTTGCAGTACCATAATAAATACTTTGTTCAACCAGAAATGCATGGCCGTAGACAAATGCTTCCAGGCATTTCAAAACTATTATTATATTTTTATCATTGTCAAGATCAAATGAGAGAGAAGAATGTCCAACCTGAGCGACATCTTCAAAGTCGTCGTGCCGTTTCTGCAGGGCTCGAGCTCGATGAAGAGATTTTCCCACTCCGGTGTGCTTACTGAGGAAAGCCTCGCCATGGTTTTCGATCCAGTCCATCACCTGACATGGAGAAAAGGAACTTGTGGTTCAGAGAACATTTCAGTCAAACTAAGCAAATCCCTTCTGCCTGAGTGGCCACCACACAAAATCAAGCATCAGATTGCTGCTTGTTTCATAGTTCAATCAATGTGTATCAATAAATGTGGTTTATTAGGGTCCAAGCAACAATAATTTATATATATATATATATATATATATAACTGTTTTTTTAAACCACTCTTGTTTTGATTTTTGTTATTAAACAAAAAAAACCAAAACATTTTCAATTTTAGTTTGTGACTTTTAATTTTGCTTTACTAGGACCTTGATACCAGCCCACCCCCCAAAAAATTTTTTTATATCACTGAACTGTAAAATATGAACAAAAGCATCTAAGGACCTTCATCAGCTGTTTGCCAGTGTTTCAGTTTCTTTTTGGGTGTTTGACGGATTGGCCTATTTTCACTTCAGTGAAATGGCAGCGAATCTCAAGCTTGCCCATAACTCAAATGTTTTCTGGCAACACAAATCAAATAAAATGACCAAGTGACGGCTCGTAACTCAAAAAAAACTTGAGATCCGGGCACTTGTAAGTGAAGGTACCAGTGCAACTTTGAAAAGCAAGGTTAAAGTTCACCGTGGTGCATCACACTTTGCGAGTAACCCAATGCGCAACAAGGAAAAGATGAATATGAGCAATGAGTGTAAACACAAATGAAGTGTCAACAGCTCTTATTGAAATGATTTGTTTTGGGGGAGCACAAGGTTGGTTGAAGGTCGTACGTACCAAATCAAACTACACACCTCATATGCTGCAGCTCCACCTTTACTTTCTTCCCCTCTCGGGTGGAAATATCATCTGCCGGTCTGCCGTGATTTATTTGCCGTTGGAAGCGTGCTGCGCTTTCCACGTGTGCGCCTCTACGCCAGGCACCACTCGCTCAACCGGTGTCTCGGGGGCCTTATAGTAGCCGATATGTGACGGCTGTTTTTGGTGGAACTGTGTTATCCCGCTGAATTTACTGCCCCCGCTGATGTGATCTCTTCTTTGTTCGATGTTTCGCTCATGTCCCCCTCCTCTACGGGACTCCATAAGCAGCCTTCATATATGGATAGGAATTCTCACCCGCTTCATTCACAGAGTCTAGATGACTCAAGATGGTTTGTAAACCTTGTTTTTTGTTTTTGTTTTAAAGAATTTGAGCATTGTGTGTTAAAAACAGTCAAAACATCCGGTAATGAACATGTATTACCTCTGCTAAGGAGGTTTGTGCATCCCCAAGTAGGATTTTTTCAAATCAGTGCAGTGTGCCACTTCAACATCAACATTGAACGTTCTAAACTTCACACAAAGATAAACATCAACAAAAATAGTTTTTTGGCCAGAAATGTCAACTTGAAGCTGTGGATGAATGTCAATACATGAAAAGGAACATTTCTAGTCTCTTTTTGAGTGCCATAACATTTTGAAGTACATTTTGAAGTTTTGTATTGAAATTCATCCATGTAAAATCTTAGAAAGTTTGAAGGTGGAGTTGGTAGAGTTGTTTCCCTCTTTGCATATTCCCTTGAAAAATGAATGGGCCTAAAACTTTTTCCTGAGGAACTCCACTCCAAATTTGTGTTGAATTGTTACTTTGAATGGATCTTAGAATGTCACCGAAAAACGTATGTGACATACAAATTCCACCTACAAGAAAGTGCATCAGTAAAGAAAATATGGAGTATGAGCCCTCTTTGCAGCCTAACATCTTAGTGTTTGTGCAACATTTTAGATTGCATCTGATGGATTTTTTCCCCATTTGGTAGGTCACTGGCCCAGTGCAAGACCTATTTTGACTTGATGTTGTGGCAACTAGGACAAAGAGAGTATCATTTCGACAGAAAATAAATGGACCACAGACATTTCTCTGAAGAACTCCACTCAAAACGGTTTGACTCATTGTTACCCTGAACTGTTCCCAGAAACTTGGAACCCGATTGTGCACCATGTCTTGCTAAAATCTAGATTATTTTAAAAACAAACCCTATTTCTCTGTGTTTTACTAACATAAAAACTATGTGTCGGATCAATTAAAACTGATTTGTTTTTGCCCCTTGGCAGGAAAAAAAAACCTTTTTGCTGTATGATGTCATAGTGTGGGCTCTTTTTTTAATTTATGAATAACAAATGTATTATTATAGCTTTTGTTTATTGTGTGATACACAGGAGTCACTCCCATTAGCAGCAAAAGCCTTTTCCAAGATTCAGCATTGTTTTTCGAAGTGCCTCATTCAGAAATGCATTCAGGTTTCTGGTTTGTTTCTATAGATATATATGGTTGTTGGCTATACCACCACCTGTTGCTTTGGTATGCACTTGACAGCCTGTTGAAACTTTTAGAACTTGGAGACGGTGGAAATATTTGCGTTCATGGGGGAAGTGAATGGAAACTTTGGTTGATTAATCCACTTTATTTCGGAATTAATCGCAGTACTTTTGCCCATATAATTGGGCATCCTTTGATAATGGCCTCTTTTTTACTGTGGTTTTGAAATGTCATCTCCTGATCTTCAGACATGTTTCCATGCTTCATTTATCTGCCGAAGCGTCAGCGGCAGCGCCTTTGGAGCAAAGCTCCATTTGGATCTGAGAAGTTTTCCGGGTTTGGGGAAACTGATGGCTGAAGAGAGTTGATGGGAAACACATGTCGCCACAGGATGACACACTCCACTGCAGCTTCAAGATATATTCTCCCCTCTTTGTTTTGTATTGTTTTCACTTCTTAAGTGCATAAGTATGTGTCTGCATACACAAATGGGTGTGTGTGTGTGTGTGTGTGTGTGTGTGTGTGTGTGTGTGTGTGTGTGTGTGTGTGTGTGTGTGTGTGTGTGTGTGTGTGCGCGTGCGTGTGTGCGTGTGTATGCAGTGTACCTGTTGGACGTCCTGCTGAAACACACACAGCTGCAGTCTCTGGTGCAGTCGGACCTTTCGGTGCTGCCAAATGTTCTCAAGACGGCGCTGATGGTGGAGTACTTCATGGACCACATCCAGAATACAATGAACCTATAGATAATAAACATACATAGCATATATTGCTTTTTTACAAATAAATAAATCAATAAAATGTTACTTTTTTTTTCTTTCTAAATTGTATTTGGTTTCTTAAGGTTGTTTTGGTGATTTATATTTATATATTTTTTTACATTTCTCAATGAAGAATGCATTCATCGTAGTAGCAAAACTCAGACGTAGGCCAGGAGTGAGAATTGAGTGCAAATGAATGCAGGATAAAGAATGTCAAGGAAATAACATGTATGTCTGCTTATGACAAAATATGTATATGTATAGCTGATGTACAATACAGACGACCCAAAATTACCAATATTTTCACTCATTCCAGTCCAAATATTTTCAAAAATTCTTCAACAAAAACTCCCAAAGGAAAAATTGATGAAATTTCCTGCCAACATTCCGTGACTTTGGAACCTTTGTGGGGGCATTCTATGAAGCTGTACAATATGGTGCTGATCCAGATTAGTAATGTTTGGCCTTGACTGAGGTCTGCCCTCTACCGAGTGATGTGTTACAAGAAGTTCCCAACCGCTTTCGAGTAGTTGGCGGTAGCCGTCAGAGACTCTGAGTTGCCCGGGCTGAGAGGTCTTTGCAGGACATCCAGGAGAGCTTTTCCATCCTGACTAACCTAGACACATGCAAGGAAAAAGGAAAAGTAAAGACAAGATGAGAGATGAACAGAAAGAAGCTGTTCCTCAGCCAATGTTGCCCAACCTTTGAATAGCGAAGGCACATATTTTACGTTACAAATATCTCATGGTACACCGCTACACAAAAATGTCACAAAAACTATTGATAACGAGACAGTGATTATCTGACCTACTGCCAACTATTCAGATTCAGATTCAGGAAACTATTTATCCCCATGGGGTAATTGGACTTCACAGGCACGCTCTGCACAAGAAACATGAAAAACAATGACGAACATGGGATACAGTGCGAAGGGCCTGTCGGTACTCGCCGTATGTACAGCGCCCCGAGATCTAGTCATAGAAAATGTAATTGTTAGCAGAGTTGAGCCATGCAGTCACAGACCAAGCGACACAGTCAAGCTCCACTGAACAATTCAGTTGCATCACACAGCATAATGGCTTCTACAACTCAAGGGTTTCCTCCCGTGCTTTATAAGCTTTGCAGGCCACCACACTGTTTTGACCCCCTCCCCACCTCCACCAGTCTAAGTCAGGGCTCAATAGAGCACCCAATTTGGGTGCGCAGGTGCCCAAATTTCACGATGTGGCAGATGTGGCAGCCGAAAATAATTATCTGTTGTACGTTTACAACCAGTTGAAGTGTCCTCGACTCTAAGCCAAGGCTGCCTCTGTGGTCACCCGGCCCGACAGTCGCGGCCTTGCTTCGGTGGAAATGGCTTTAGGGCAGCCGCTGGAGCATTTTGACACTGAAGTGTGATGACGAACGATCCTTGCATTTTCCCTCAACTGTAGTTTGGCCTTCACTGCTGGATATTATAATCGTGTGGACTTAACCGACATTGGATTACAGTAGAAATTTACAAGTTGTGGTGAATTTCTAGTGTACTTTCAACATACCGGAGGAGAGCGTGACCAGCACGACCTGCATGGATTGTTGTCAGGCCTGGAAGGGTGCAGGAGGTGGCAGAGGCAAGATAAACAAAAGCGAGGCTACTGATATGCGCTATGGTTAGGTTACGGTATATGCTAACCACTCAAACTCTGCTGCCGAGCCTCTTACTTCAGACGCCAAATTCATAACACACAAAATGGGTCATCTGGAAATACAACTAGCGGGAAATCGCTAAGTTCAGGACTGTTGAGTTTTATTAATAACGGAAACCGGCCTACATGCTCAGATTCCCCGCGCTTCAGTGCAACTGTACTCGAGGCTAACCGCAGCTAGTGTTGTAGTCAAGACCACACCAAATAAGACCAAGACATTATCGAGATGAGAGATTATCGAGATGGAGACAAGACGAAGACTGCATCTGCATTTTAGAGGAAAAAGTCAGGAACAATGCTTAAATTTCTTGCTGGGAAAATGAACTGATTTTGGTTTTGGAAACCAAACTTAATTACTGATGAATTTGCTGACATTCTTTCAAATTTTTCTGGGTTGCTGCATCTCCAGTCGTCTTCATCTGTGTGCAGGGGGCGTGGCACTCCAGTCGACACCAAAAGCAGCGCAGCACCTGGTTCCTGCTTTTCTCATTGATCACAGTCGCAGTGGCTTGGTCTTCATCAGAAATCCAACCGAGACAAGACCGACTAAAAATCACTTCGATTCCGAGATGAGACCAAGACCAATTTGGAGAACGCCAACATTAAGAGCGGCACAAAGTGAAGTTTCATCCCCAGTTTATGATCTCGCAAAATACGCAGACTAGAACTAATAACAACTTTATTAGATGCTTACGAGCCAAGTGAGGAAAAGTGGTTCAGAAAATGGATGGAGAGCAAACAGTGATATGCTGCACTGTGTCGTGACTGTCATAATAGTTATTAACAATAAAATTGGAATACAAATGGCCGTGGCTCATTGAATTTCAATTATGGTTTGTGATATTTTTAATAAATTCTTTTTAGTTTGGTCCTTGAAAATGTCTCATGAAAATGACCATTAGCACTAAAATGGTTGGAGTCCTGCATTTATTTAATATGTGTGCATGCAAGTATGTGTGTGCATTGTGCATTGTTGAAAGGTGCAATGTAAATAATTCAGAGTGATTTATTCTTTGAAGGTTTGATGTTCAACATGAATAAAGTAAATCATTTTCGCGCGCAGTCCTGCTGTCCACCTATCCATTTTCCGATCCGCTTTATCCTCACAAGGGTCGAGGGGGGTGCTGGAGCCTATCCCAGCCGTCTTCGGGTAGTAGGCGGGGGAAACCCCGCCTACTGTCCACGCTCACACACAAACCTAGGGACAATTTTGAGTGTTCAATCAGCCTGCCATGCATGTTTTTGGAATGTGGGAGGAAACCGGAGTACCCGGAGAAAACCCACGCAGGCATGGGGATAACATGCAAACTCCACACAGGAAGGTCAGAGCCGGGATTGACCGCTCCACTGCGAGGTTGACGCACTAACCACTGGACCACCGAGCCAGTCCTGCTGTAATGTTTTTAAAAAGAAATTACGCCATGTTGTTGTACAAGTAGCGCTTGAAAATATTTCTAGATAACAACACCAGGGGTCACATTTTTTGTTCAGGCAACCTGGTAGGTATGCAATTACAATGAATATGATCATTTTCCACTGCACACTAATGTGAAGTAAACAACCATTGAGAGAGGCAAGAGTGATTGTAGAAAAACTGAGGAAGGCAATGGAAAAAATTGACAGAGTAGCCTGAAAAAGGCAGTGTTTCGGCTCCTTAAGGGGATTCCGTATACACCAAGAGGGAAGCAAAGCATAGCCAGAAAGGCAAACAGCAACGTTGCACCACTTCAGCAGGTGAGAGAAAAGGGACCCAAATCAGTTTGAAAACTACAGAGCTGAATGAAGGTACAAATGGAAAAGAGAGAATGAGCCCCTTGGCACAGGCTGTGCCGCCATGTGAGCATCAAGACCCATTCTCCCACAGAACAAAGCCACAAGCAGAGACCAACAAGCCAACTGGAAGAAACAAGATCAAATGACCAAAGTTAAATGGAGCTGAAGCATGGCAGACATTGGACTCTGACCTAACCAAGAAGTTGGAAAGAGAAGTCAACCTTCAGGTCATTGCTTTGTGTTGGTTGTCATTGTAGTCATATAGAAGATTTTTTCTTCTCCAATCAGCAAAGTGATGTTTTTGAATTGCTAATGTCTTTAAAATTCACTTCCTTGGGACTGAAGACCACAACTGCTTTTCCCACCTCAGATGGAATGAGTTTTGTGGACTTGACAATAATCTGGGACAAAAGCCAGGTTTGCATGGGGCCTTGTATTCCAATTCGAATGAACCCAAATGCTAAAACCGAATGTAAATACTGCATATAAACACCTCAATTGGAATAAGCAAGCCTATCCGAATGAGATTTCATTCAGGTTCAGTGGTGGCACATTCCTTTTGCCAAGCTGATCAGAAGTTACGTAAAGCATTCAGAGTAGCCGGGCTACATCCTGGAATTAATTTTTGATCAAGTTTAAAAACAACAACTGCTATGCTAAATACTGTAGATGGCTGACCTCCATTTTGATCAGTCACATAGATGCTAACATAGATCTGTGCACGTTACTCATCTGGGAAACAGCTGTTCCAATTAAATGTAGTGGAAAAATCCGATTGGAAGAAATCATGTCACAATAGACAGAAGAATAGATCTTCAGTCTGAATGATTTCAATCCGAGTAACAAAAAAAAAATTATACGTGCAAATGTGTCCAATGATCTTGGACCAAAAGGCTCAGTGGGAGAAGACTGACCTGCATGTTGTCTGGCCTACCCTCGCCAACACATATGGTTCAATCCCACACCAGTTGATAAACTACACCATTTCTTCCTCTAATCATACATCAAGAACTTGGATGCATCCTTCTTCAATTACCAGCAGATGTGCTTTGTCCTGTAAGGCTTTACCACAGCATGACAGGAGCTACATTTAGGAATCACGATGGGATGTGCCTTTTATCCAATCCCGTTTGTAGCAGCCTTTGAGATAATCCTCAGTGGGGCAAGACAAATGGTTGAAGAGATCAAACTACCATCTGCTCAGAAACTATCCCCATTGAGGAGCAACAAAGATGACGTGCCAAACGTTCTTGAGACAGCACCGTGTATATTTAGATTGCTTAAAAAGACATTGTTGATGGCTTGGGCAGGAATGAAGATTAAATCTGCCAAGCGACGTCGGCCGTCACTCTAAAGGGGAGTCAGACATGACTCCCCGAACATTGTCATCGTGGGAGAGAAAATACATCTTCTATCCGAATAACCCCTCAAAAGCCGAGGTTGGTTGTCCTACTATCTCACAAACAGATGGGGAGATTTGTCATGAAGCAGCTCACAGATGGCCTGGCAAGGAATGACCAAAGTCAACTCCCTGAAAAATACAGTTCTCCAATGTTCATATGTAACAAAAGAAAAGCACAGAAAAAGAGGTCGGCAAAAGCTGTCGGTAGACTGTAATGTCAATATATCTTTGGTCGAGTCAATGCAAGAAAAATCCTCGGCTTAATCTCCTGCTCAACCTACGAAATGGTTCCCTTTCCAAGTAAACCTCCACCAGTGTTTTTGGAATGAGAAATGCTTTGGGCTTGGGTAAATGGGCTTGATTTTCACTTTTTTCACTTTGGCGCTTTTCTGCCTGAGGAACCCAAAACGCTTTCACACCGTTTCCTCATTTTATCTACTGGTGATGCAAAATCAGGATCATCTGCGGGTTCAGTAGCATCATCGTTTCAGGTGTCAGGAAGTAACCTCATGATCTTACACTATCCACTGTATAGTATATGCTACGTATGCAAGACTCACGCTAATAGCGTACCGTTAGCCTTTTGGCACATTATTTACCATCTGAGCAGACAGAGGAGTTCATTTTGAACTTATTTAACTGACTTTGTGCACAACCGCACTTTATCCAGTGCCTTCATTTATCTGGATTACTCTATGTGTGTATATAGGGCAAACATCATCATCATTTCAGATGTAAGAAAGTGTTTGGGGCTCCCACTGTTGTCTATGAAAATGACTGTGAAAGGCTCTGAGTGTAAAAGGTTGCTAACCCCTGTTCAAGAATAACCCGTTTCTTTTCAGTGCTCTTTAAATCACAATATTTTCACCCCATCATGAAATGTAAGCAATTTTTAGAAAGGTCCAGTCGCTGAGGTGAAATCAGAACATCAGGCTTTTGCAGTTAAAAATATTAAGTTATCATCGAATAAGGTTTCTTGTTCTTGGACGGCATGAGAGTCCACTTGACCTTAACTGACTTCAAATGGCTAAAAATTATAATGCTATTCTTACAATCTGACAGAAATGTTAAATGTTTTAGAACACCACAGAGATTGTTGCTGCAGTCTGTGGCGTTTTCTTCGAGTGCTTTTTACCTCAGTGTAGGCCTGTGTGACCTGCTCATAGAGGCTCTGGTGGCGGTGAATGGCCAGCTCCAGCTCTTGCATCTCAGTTGGGAGCCCGCCCTCACTGCAGACCTTGCACCATGCCTCCACCTCTGACAAGAACTGCATAGACAAATTGGAGCAAACGAGTTGTTAAATAACTTGCTGAAAACTCTTCAGTACATCAATTTTCTTTCTTTAGTTCTCACCTGCTAAGAGCATTTTGTTTACATCTATTAAGTTCCCTTCAAGGCTGCCTCTGACTTAATAGCGTACTACAGTATTAGCATTTTTTGGTACATTATTTACCATCTGAGCAGAAAAAGAAGTTCATTTTGAATTTATTTAACTGACTATGTGGACAACTGCACTTTATCCAGAGCCTGCATTTATCTGGATTATTCTACAGATATTACAAGGATATTATTTACATTTGAGTGGATACAGGTGTGTCTGTTGATTTTTGAGGGACTTAACAGACAATGTGGATAGCCAAAGAGCTTTATCCAAAGACTTCACTTATCTTGGTAATACTTTTCCCGATATTGAAAACTTCCAATACGTCATGCTAATAACATAACTGCCAAACTGAATTTATTTGCAAAAGTCGGATTTTTGCGGGAAATCAGTCTCCATAATCTAATGCAGATGTGGCAAAAATGTAGATAACTCAAACAATTGACTGAGGCAGTTATGCTATTAGCGTGACGAACAGTAAAATATATTACTTTATTAAATTCTGTAATGGCAATAAAGTGTCAAACTTGTGCTCTGCGGTGTGCAGTGATTGGCCAGGGTCCGACATTAAAACCTTTTGAGTGGCGGGTCCATTGGTCTACGATGAGCCAAGTTTTGGTAACCCTGTCATGCTCCATATATTCATAACATAATATGTTAAGTTGCCGTGATTATTTCGCATTTAGCATCGTTACACTGTATTATTAAAACCTTTTAGTAAATATTGCTTGTGTGGAGTTGGTAGCCAGTAATTCAAGACTATTATTGTGGACTAACCTCACTTAAATAAAGGCATTGCAAGGGCTCAAATTTATATTAAGGCATCAAAGAATAAATCCATTACAGACTTTCCAACAATGCATAATACTGTACACACAGGTACTTTTTTTAATCTATAAAGGCAACGGTCCCCCACATTTTTCGGGTCGTGGACCATTTTCATGTGAAGACAGATTTTGAGTGACAGGCATTATAGAAACAAATGATTAAAAAATATCACTCACCATTATTAACACTTCAACATAACCGGCTGCACGCTGTATTCCAATAAGTGTTATGACAGTAATGAAGCAGCGTCGTTAAGTGTCATGGTATTGCTAAGTGTTGTCTGACAACATCAATGAGTCAAGTTCTAGTTAGCACACAGTTATTGTCTGTGCATTACTAAACATAATAATCTCTCAATGAAGCCTCCTTTTTTCTGTCACCGCCCTTTGTTGAAGCTAACAAGTTGAGCAGGCTAACCCAGTAGGCACTTGCTTACTGGGTCATCGTTTTTCCTTGTGTCATCACAATATCCTGTTTTAGTCGGGTTGACACAGCAATAAAAGTCAAAAAGACAAAAATGTAAATTTTCTGCCATTTTCGGCAGCCAACAATTTTTGGTGATTTGTAATGGCTCGGCCAGGCCAGTTTGTGGGCCTCGGGACAACAGGCCAGTGTTAATTTCTGTCCCCGTTAGCCAATTTGCATTTTGGGGAGACAGCATAGCTATATGTGAATTGAAACATTCTCGACAAATGTGTCACGATCCAGTTCGGCTTTGTTTTTCTTTGCGTTTATAAATTGAGTAACTAAACCAGAAAATACCACCGTACAAAGTCTAGGACATTTTTGTTCTGCTTACCTGTTCCGCTTTTTGGTGGAAAACTGCGGACATTGCAAGGATGGTTGAGCGTTCATCAAGAGCGGCGGCAAAGCTTTTCCAATCCAGGTCCAGCTGACTCGATATCTGTTTAATCTGCGTGGAGGCGTAGTGTCCTGCCTCCGCTAGGCGACTCGCTACTGACATGATCCTGTTGATGTTGACGTAAGCATTCTAGAAGGGAGAAAAATGTATCAATCTAGCGTCTATGCTGTGTGGTATCATTGTGTGAGGGAGTGCGTCGGTCGGTGTGTTGTTTACCATAGAGTTCATGGCAAAGTGGTTGTGTTGCGTCTGCAGCTCGGCGGCATGGTCGTACGCTCGGCCGATCTCAGTATGGCTCTGCAGGAACAACGCCTTGTTGTGGCTGATCCAGTCAAACATCTGCACACAGAACCCTTGATTAACTAACAGCTAGTTTACCATCACTTCCCTTCTCCATTAAGGACAGATGTGTGGACTACAATTATAAGTTAGGTTGATTCATCCGTTTTCCTTTCTAAAAGCTGCTGATACAAATTACTTCTAGATTATATTCATTGTAAAAAAAAAAAAAAAAAAAAAAAAAAAAAAGACTGTTGGGTGAACCCCAAATTTTCAAAGCAACAAACTTCGGTAACATTTTTGAGCTGGGCCATTGAACAAAACGTTTTACGGTTTCTAGAATGGTTGTCCCTTTTATTGAACCCCAAATTGAAAGCTAGAGATATATCAAGTACTTGCTTACTACCTTGCGATTATTTACGTTGTTGCCATAAATGTCAGCAATTTATATTGTTAAAAGTTTTTCCACCTTAAAATACAGTTTTAGGCCGAAAAATAAATTTTGTAGTGAGGGGAGGGCAGATATCTTAAATATTTGTCCTGAGAAATGAAGTGGTAAAACACCACCATCCAGGACAGGGGTGTCAAACTCATTTTAGTCGCGGGCCAATTTGGAGTTACGTCTTCCCTTGGAGGGCTGTTATGACAGTGAAACCACAAAATTACTACCGGTACTTGTACACAACACAATAATAGATTAATAGTTTTGAAATCAGTCAAATCAATTATAATAGTTTGTTCAATTATTGTTCAAGTGAGTGTAAACTGGGAAAAAAAAATTATTGCAAAATCTCAACGTTACTTATTACACATGACAATTTGACATTTCGGTACAGATTTTAGCAAGTCGACACACATGATTTGCTTTCGCGGGCCACATAAAATGACCTGGCGGGCCGGATCTGGCCCCTGGGCCTTGAGTTTGACACCTGTGATCTAGGATCTTCATCGGGAAAAGGAGGTCAAGTTCATCTACTTAATCTATGGGAAGAAAATATAATACAGTACATAAGCAAAACCATTTTTACTGTTTTGACTCAAGTGAAGAGATGCTGTCTTTTAAGTGGAGCATTTTAAAAATAATCATTTCATTACGCCACTCATGTATCCTTCTGCTGCACTGCGGCTTGTATTTTTTGTATTAGTTCCTCTTGCCTCTGCAGTCTGATTGTACCGTCACTGGCTTGTACATTCATAACAAAAGGAACAAAACACGGACACAAAAGGGAGATCGTCAAATATAAGGGGTTTCCCACATTTTTTTTTTTAATACGGTATGTAACACTTCAACAGTTACTTGTACTTACATTAATTAAAATCAAAATTTTACTGAACATTACATCTTTACTGTTTACAGTTGTATAATGCTGAATGTTTGACCTCTGGAATGGAATTTCTGCCGTGGAACAAAATATCCTCGAAAGTAGTACACTTGGAATTCGACCAAATTATAATTCATTTGGAGTGTTATTTAAAAAACTTGTTTGACAGTTCTGCGATCAGGTGGCAACCAGTTCAGGGTGTATCCCGCCTACTTCCCGAAGACAGCTGGCATCGGCTCTACCACGCCCGCTACCCGTTTTCATGTTTACTTCTTACCCTTATATTTAGAAGTGATGAAATAAGCATCTTGATTTGGCAGCCTGGTACAACAGTTCTGCTAATTTTCTTCTGCATTAGAACTTTTCCATCCCTTTGTGTCATCTTTTTATTGTGTGTTTTGTGGCATGTGGTGGAAAGTATTGATGCTTGTCGTTGTTGGTGCCTTTACTGACAGTCTGTTGACAAAAAGCTCGGCACCTTTCTCATTTAGTTTACACTTTCCACACATTTTGGGTTGCGCTGGAACGTTTACACTACTGCAGTGTTTTGGCTGTGGCATTTGATTGACAGGAGAATACTAGCGCAGTTGGAATTGTTGCCGTTTGTCGACGACCAGGACAACTGCAAGAAGCTCCGCCCCAACATGGAGCACAGCCCACACCCATTTTGTCGAAGTACGCAACCGAGAGGAGATATGGAGAGAGGCGAGAGCTGGCCCTAAAATAAAATCAAGTGGGAGAGACGACTAAATGGAACAGGAGAATTTAGCCTTTATTTATATTTACTATATATTATATAACGTTTATTCCTTACTCGCCAATGAACAAACCATTGGCTGTTCGCAAACTGCAGTTTTTGTTTACTCTCAAATAAACGCGTGGTTATCGTGGCAATGACTCATCGTTTGAGCAGTGTTCTCCTAAAAACGCGCATCTCTGTGAGGCCGAAGTCCTCACGCACACTCACACTGATGTGGAGTAAACTGTTGCATTTAATTCTCAACGCTTTGTAAATATTTACCGGAGGAACACACCCATGTCGCCAGACTCCCGTTTGCCGGTTTTGTGCGTATCCAAGTGAACACGAGACATCAACACTTCATGTTCTCCCAAACAAATGTGAAGGAGAGGCAAGAAAATGACCATGTTTCGTAAAATACACCTATAAATCTTCTCTAAGCTGTCGCTTTGATGTTTAACAGGTACGCATGACCCCCGGCTGGGATGTTAATGATGAATGGAATCTATAGTCACAACTGCAGCTGATCAATTGGCTGCTGCAAATGGTTGCTTTTTCCACCTATTTTTCACACATCTTCAAATCAGGTCATGTGACACCAGGTCTCCTGGTCGCAAATATTTACTGTCCACTCTTTGTAAATGCTCATAAAGTGTATCTTTCCTTACTTTCTCTGCATCCTGCTCAAAGAGTCGTAGCTGGAAACACTGGTCCAGCTTTAGCTTCCGGACATGCCACATCTGATGGAGCTGTTGCCTGGTTGAGTGGAGCTTGTCCAGCAGACTGGAAACCTGACACATAACCGCGTGCACACGGACACACATGAACAAAATATACAATATCATACTATAGCAAGACAAATACAACTTAGGAGGGGGGGGGGGCGCAGAGGGGTGCTGGTCACACCCAAACACACTTTGGTAGTCACACTTCCTTTCAGGTCCGGTCAAATGTAGTCACTCACGTTGTGCCACCTGGAAGTATCCTTGCGTCTGTTGTTGACAAACAATTGAAATTGGTCTATAAAAGGCATCGGTGAATCTTCTGACGTGCCAGTTTTGCAGTTACCATGTCGCTGTACTGTATGTTATTTAATTTCCGTCACAGGATGAATAAAATCTTTGTCCATCTAAAATTACCGAAGGAGGTTGTAGTCGAGAGTCGCAGCAATATTTTGCCCATGTTGGGTTCAGAAGTGGCAGATCACGTTACCTTGGGCACGAGGCTCTGGAAGTCAGCAGAACCGGAGATGCAGCTCCTCCCCGAGTAACCATCACTACATCGAATACACTGCAGCAAGCGCTGGCCTTCCAGGTCCAAATCTTCCACAGGAGCCTTCAGTACCTTCAGCAGAGTTGGTGGAAAAGACAAGCACCAATAATCTCAAAAAAATTTCATGACATTGACATATGGACCAGACAAAACCAAAGTGAAGCATGCTGAGGAACAGTTTAGTTCAGCTGCATAACACCTTTCATGAGTAATTTTCTTCACAAACAAGTAAATTGCAGGTTGGTAGTGCTCACCTTCTTCTTCAGTTGTGTGTGTTCTTCTATTAGCCGACGAGATCCTTCAACATCGGAAGGAAATTCTTTCTTGGACAAGACCTCCTTTGACATAAAGCAAATTTCAGTCTTTCCTTCATCACATCATCCAAAAGCATCCATCCAACTAGTGACATCATCAAGTCACTATCTGAAGCCACACTCAATCGATCTATTCATTGAAATGGTTATCCATCCCTTGAACAGTCAAAGAGCATTCACTTTCAAAGGCAATCAATCAGTCATCTAAACAACCAACGACCATTTCATCCATCCTTCCAGACATCCATTCACTCACCAATCTATCCAAGACATCCATTCCACAAAGAATCTAACATTTATTCATCTAATACTGTACATCCATCCATTCATCCATCCATGTCAACCATCCACTCATCCATTAGTTCCATCCATCCATCCATCCATCCATTTTCCTATCCGCTTTATCGTCACAAGGGTCGCGGGGGGTGCTGGAGCCTATCCCAGCCGTCTTCGGGCAGTAGGCGGGGGAAACCCTGAACCGGTTGCCAACCAATCTCAGGGCACACAGAGACGAACAACCATCCGCGCTCACACTCACACCTAGGGACAATTTGGAGTGTTCAATCAGCCTGCCATGCATGTTTTTGGAATGTGGGAGGAAACCAGTTTACCCGGAGAAAACCCACGCAGGCCCGGGGAGAACATGCAAACTCCACACAGGGAGTGCATTCAACCAGCCTTCTAGTCATTTATTTACCCAGAACCTTCATCCCTTCCTCCACCTGGTCATTCACTCATCCATCCATTCACCTGTGCCTCATCCAGCCATGAGGTCATCAATTCATCAAAAAAAAAAAAAAAAAACAGTTGTCAATCCAACCACTCCATCTGTCTATTAAATTATTCTTCCATGAATCCAACTAGTAATCGGGTTACCTATCTATTCAATTGTCCTTTCATTTCAGCGATCATCAATCAGGTCACCGAGCAGTTCATCAAATCAGACATCATACATCCATTCATTGCCATATATCCATCCAGTTACATCTGTCCATCCATTTATCAAGAGGTCATCCATCTGTTCATCAGTCCAGCATCAATCCATCGTCCCACCTGTAAGTCCTCCAGTCGAGACAGGAGATGAACCGCATTGAACATGAACTCCTCCAGCGAGACTCTCAGGTCCATCCACTCCTCATGGTTGTAATCCAGGGAGCCTTCAAAATCGTCCGTCAGCTGCGAGGGATCCACCAACTTTGCCAGACCTTCCACTGACACCATGCTGGTCTGTTGGGAAACAAGATGGAGAGCCTTCAGCAGCACATTCTCTTGAGCCGAGGGTTGTTTTTCAGATTTAAATGGAACCGACCACTCACTTCAAAGGAAAACTTTGCGCTACCAAAGTTGGTCTTTTGCTTCTGCCAGAAGTTATCCGGTTTGATGATGAGCGCCACGCAGATCTCGACCGGGAAAAACTCCTGCAGCGTCTTCAGCAGAGGCTTGATTAGCTCCCACTTGGATCCTCGCATGTCAATGATGACAGTGAAGCCTCTCTTGCACACATCCTCACTACAGTCAAGACAAGTCAAGAGTATGTTCGTTAGGGCATTGGATGTAACCAAAGAAGCTTTGTTGACTTTTCTCATTCAGTCTTCAATCGATGGACTGAAGTACAAACAAACATATGAGTGGATAGTGCTTTGTCATGTCCGCCAGGAAGAATCACAATTCATTTGGGGTTTCAAATCCACGTGCTACCAACTGGAGTCACCTGCAGACAATCTCATGCTGCTCACTTTTCATGTTAATTCCTGCCGTCGGGAAAGTCAAGGTTCCGCAAGTCGTCATGGAAACTGCTGTTGGATTAGCACAGTGTGGCTGCTATGGAAGAATAAGACCACTTTGGTCCTGTTCTGCTCTGTTCTCAAGGTACGTTTTGCTTTTTGACTTGAAGAACAATGAACTTTGGATGTGTGTTACTGATTCACTTGAGGTGGACTCCACAATACTGCTAATTGGTGGCGAAAGTTGGATGAATATTCACAAACATTTCCCCCAAGCAGTCCCATCCAGTTCAGCACACAACAGCATAGTTGTTGAGGCATAAATCCTGATCTAGATTCATTTTCAAGCGTCAGGAGTGGGTATACGGAATGGTGGAGGTGTCAATACACAGATCGATGCCGTATAAAGTCATGGTAAATCAGAACTATAATGAAATTCCAGTGTTAGACACACCATTAAATATGATACACAAGGTACAATACAGGTGTGCGGACAATCAAACATGATGTATGTACGGGACATTCCCAGTACATAGACCATTAAACTCATTCAGTACCAGCCAATTCTAGACCAAGTCTGAAAAGACGTTTAAAAACGTCTTTGGGAGTGAATGAGTTAAATACGGTAGCATGACATTGAACATTAAATATGACTGCAGCAACTGGACCTACTTGCCAAGGACTTGATGTCAACATAGCTTCATTGCTCTTTGGTAGTTTTTTGTCTTAATTCTGTCTTGTAGAATGGTCGGACTGTGCAGGCAAGCCAGAGCACTAAATAGGCTTGAAGTGACACAGTGTGTGTCCAAGAGTCTGCTGAAAACACTGGAGCGCTTTCATGCTGATGCAAATCAAACACAGGGCTCCATCTGCTTCTTTGATTCCACCATCAAGCGCTCCACCGGCCACTTCATCCTCCTTCCATTTGGCACAATTCCCTTTCGCCAATGCATTTATTTAAAAAACGTGTATTTTCTGATGGGGAGGATGTGTGTGTGTGTGTGTGTGTGTGTGTGTGTGTGTGTGTGTGTGTGTGTGTGTGTGTGTGTGTGTGTGTGTGTGTGTGTGTGTGTGTGTGTGTGTATACCTGGGAACAGTAGACAGGTATGTGACCAGCCTCCTCAAGTCCTCTTGTTTTATTCGGTCGTGGTTGCTTCGTGCAGGGAATGTCAAGATCGGTCCTCCTCGTTTGTCCCGCCCACCTGCGCCCATACACAAACATTTAGCTGTAGCATTCACACAAAATGTTGATGGCCTAAAACAAACCACATCAGACCCAATAAGCCCAACACGCTTGATGCCAACCAAATTTCATGTTAAACTGGCTGTCGGTTTGAGTTGAAGGTGACAGTTTCCAGATAATTCTGAGATGTAACGATTCACTTGGATCAAAAATGACTCCTAAATTTGGTGGGCTTTTGACTGTGGGAAAGCTCTAAAAAAGGCGATTGGTTTGGCCTAAGAATAATAACAAGCAAGAACAAACAAAGCAATTACAAGAGGGCCTTTGCGTTGGGTCCTCCCGACTTGAGGAGCCCCAAAGCTCAGCGTGCAAATCGCGTTAGGGTCAGCTGAGTGGCGAGTGCAGCAAGGCGCTTTTCGCATCTGCTTGTTTTGGCACACGCTCATGTGTAACGCCTGCCAGATGCGAGAATTTCACATAAGTCATATGTTCGGGGTGTTAAGCGCCCTGGATGATTTTCCCTGGCCGTTTCCTGCCTGGGCAAATCCTGCAGGCAGGGAGAAAGCTAATGATTTTTTCTGTAGTTAGCAGCACGAAAAAGCTTTCTTTTCACCAAATACTACAGTTTTCTCTATATGGTAACCTTGTTTTTTTGTCTTTCCATTGTCAAACGTTTTAAAGGGAATCGCAATTTTGTACCACTTGGTGTTTAGATCAGTCAGGAATCTCAAAGTAGCGTAATTATTCAGTGAAAAAAAAGGCAAAATATATATTTCACCCTTTCATGCACCCCGATAACATGATAAGCTGTCCACTGTAGTAACCGCTGTCCCTGAAACAGTTAACTGTGATCAAAAACTACATTTTTTGCAAGCATACACATAACCAGCAAATGATTACAAAACCAAACTAAAACTTCATATAACACCATAAATATACTGTCTGTTTTTTTTTTCAGCATAAAACTAATAGTTCTATGTACCGGTAAATGACCATGCAAAGGAGAACATCCACTTCCCAGCTCAGAAGTTCAGAGTTCGAATCTTAGCTAAGGCATCATTGTGTTGACATGTTGTTCCTATGTTTGTGTCGGTTTTCTTTGGGTACTCTGACTTCTTCCCACATTCCACAAACATCATGTTCAATGAAGACCAAATTGTCCTGAGGGATGAATTTAAGTGTAAATGTATTTGTCTTTGACTGTGCCCTGTAATGAGCCGTTGACCAGTTTAGGCTGTACCACGCCTCTTGCCAATTTTTTTAATGGTTTGCTCAAAACCTTAGTTGATTTTACAACATTGCCATATTGAGGTTCATTGACCCTTTCAGGGACAGCGGTTACCACAGTGGACAGCTTATCATGTTACAGGTTACAGGGTGCATGCAAGGGTTAAAATGAGGTACTGGACTGGACAAGTTACGTGAATCTTTACTTGTCAGCCAAACAAAGGAAATGGTTTGAGCGGATGTCACGTTGGACCTTTGCAGGAAACTAGTTGAGCGTAAACCAACAGTGCCTCTGCCGGTTGCAGCTAATCCATTTTGCTCCACTTGTTTCATGACGGGATTCATCAATGATCAATTGCACACATTCAACCAAATTTCAAATAATAATAAATAATCATAATACATTTTATTTATAAGCGCCTTTCAAGACACCCAAGGACACTTTTACAATCAGGAACAAAAACAATAAAACACAATACGGGTATTGAATGAACTATTACGCCCATCCACAGTCACACTGTTGATATTTTACTCCACCGCTAGTGGAAGTGTGAGGCGACGTAAATGGTGCTCTGTTAAACGATCAACAAAGAATTGTAGAGCAGATTCAGGTTTACAGTCCCTAATGATACCGTGGTCAAGAAGAAGTGCTGACATTTAGCTCTGCACAAACGAAATATGCAAATGTGTCCTTTGGAGCTTTGTGCGTTAAAGCTGCACAAAAGCTTGCTTCTGATGTCTTTCGTCTCTTGTTCCACATACCCTTTCTGATGGTTTGAGCACAGCACTTTGTACTCCTGACACTTCATTACATCAGTCAGATGACCGCGACGTGGGAGTGAGTTTAATTTAAAAGCACACATGGGATTAAAATAAAGAATCAAATCAAACGACAGATTACTGGCAGCGTGGTTGACCATTGCTCAGCATATCTGGCTGACTGACCTGTGGTTCTGTCTTTGAATCTTGGTTCGGAGTGCTCTTGGCTGCCTCCCATATTACAAAAACATGCATGCTAAGTTCAATAAAGACTTTAAATTGTCGAGGTGAATGTTACTGTGAATGGCTTTTGTCAGTATGCGCCTCGAATTGCTCAAGCAAATTGATTAATGGAGAGACAACATATTTATCCAAACCCAGGACTGTTCAAATACTTAATGTTTTCGATGTTTCCCTCCTCCAACACACCGGATAGAAATGATCAGGGTCATTATTCGGCTCCTGCAGAGCTTGCCGATGAACCGATCGTTTGAATCAAATGTATTGGAGGAGGGAAACATCAAAAATATGCAGGATAGTGGCCATCAAGTACCGGATTTCCGACGACAGTTTAAACCGCGTTTTCTGTGTTACAGTTGCATGCTCGCACTGTAATGTACATCCGTTGATGTATCGAAAAAATTCAGCGAACTATTTGATGAACACCACGGGCCGAGTATAAACCACGTGAAAATAGCACAGTGTCAATGTGCCAACTGTGAATTCTATGACATTGATGATATGGATATGTCAGTGTTTCAAGTTTTAAATACTTTACCTGACCTAAGATCGATTTGATTTAGATGGATAGAAAAAACACAAGAAACAGTGGCAAAAACAGAAAGTGTCGACATGATGAAAGCAGCACGTTCAGAAAAGAGAAAAACAAAGAATTTCAGAAGAAAACTCCAAGGTAGGTGGGTCTACAACGTGTAACTAGATAGGTTTTGAGTTCTGAAACAGTCAGAATGTTTTATGGTTATTTTGTTTAAAATTTGGTTGGAAAAAAAAAAGATGGAAAAAAAAAAAACTTTGTCCTACCTACCGACCCAATGCTTAAATTTCATGTTGTCTGAAATATTTTTTGTTTGGCCTAAAGTGGAGGGTTCGATTTCTGTTCTGACCTTCCTTGTTTACATGCTCTCCCTGTGCTCATGTGGGTTTTCTCCAGGTACTCCGGTTTCCTCCCCCTGTTTTGACCTTCCTGTGTAGAGTTTGCATGCTCTCCCTGTGCTCATGTGGGTTTTCTCCAGTTACTCCGGTTTCTTCCCACATTTCAAAAACATGCAAGACAGGTTCATGCAACGCTCTAAATCAGGGGTGTCAAACTCACTTTTGTCGCGGGCCACATTATAATTACCGTTTCCCTTGAAGGGCCGTGATGACTGAAACTATAGAAAGAAGTCAAAAATAACATTTTATTCAACTATTGTTTAAGTTACTGTCATGAAGGGTTTGGTTACAAGAAAATGCTTAAAATATCCTTATTTATTGCAGATGAGAATTTTAAATTGTGTTACAGATTTTAGCTAGCATCATGTAAGTTGACATGTTTGATTTGTTTTTGCGAGTCACATCTGGCCCCCAGGCCTTGAGTTTGACACCGGTGCTCTAAATTGTCCCTGGGTGTGATTGTGAGCGCTAAATGGTTGCTCGTCAATGAGTGCCCTGCAATTTAGTGGCAACCAGTTAAGGGTGCTCCTGCCCAAAGACAGCTGGGATAGGTTCCAGCATGCCCCAGCACCCTTGTGAGAATAAAGCAGATCAGAAAATGGATGGATGGATGCAGAAAGCAACAAGTGCCATATGCATTTTACTGCAGTCACCATTGCATGCTTTTAACTCCATTTAAGCCAATCCCGAGCCCCTATGTATTTACTTTTGTGAACTTGCCATGTACTCTACATCCCCATACATTTCTGTGCCCATTATTTCTTGCGAACTTGTCGCAAATATAGCTTTGACCGTGCTTGAAAGTCAATAAAACTTGACAATGCGTGAAACATTTTAAGAAAAATGACGTCAAGAAACTCAACGGTGTAATAACATTTCACTCGTGAATGATCTCTTTGCAAACACTGCCGTCCTTCGCTTCTAATATCAGACTTGAAGGCATGACGATTGGGTGCTGATTTGTTGATGTTTATTGTCTTTGTTCTGTTCTGTACAAACAATCTGCATTTCACAGCTGATGTGAAGTTCCCAAGCTGAGCCATGATTGTTCGTTACCTGAGTACTTGTGATGTCATTTTCATTCGACAGCAAATGGCAAAAGGCGTTTTTAAAGGTGTTGATCGTACATGAAAAATTAAAATGGAAAGAGAGCCAACAGTCTTGCAACTTAAACCTTTGACATCTAACCTTTGAAATTTATAGAAAAATGTGTCACGTGGAAGCGTCGCAGTGAAGTGAAAGTCTCTCAACGGGTGGGTGGGTGATGATTTTGATGACACTCACCGGATACGAAGGCCACTTTCTCCTTCAAGACAGGCAGAACATCAGACGCCTTAATGCCTTCAGTCCTCAGAGACCCTGCAGCAACACGAAAAAAAAAAAAAAGAAGCGAAAGAGACAGTCAGTGGAGCTTTACGATTTTATAATTAATCCAATTATCAGATCAACATTCCTGCGAGGGAAAAAAGAGCCGCACGCTGACACAAGCCCTTTCTGAAAATGTTGTGGAAAATGTCTTCCTCTGCTGCTCCTTCGTATTGCCTTTCAAACAACATTTTGGGGTTTCATAACTGTACCACTTGAAACTTCAGCATTTGCGGGACAGTTCTGCACACAGAATGTGGTTTGTAACCCACCATCTTTTTTGCAGGTTCTCAAGATCGTAATCTTCTCTCATGAGCGGTGGGGATGTGCCTGAATGTCCGACTCCTGCTGTGCGAAAGATGAATGTTTTTAAATCCCTGCTCGGATTAAAAGATGGAGTTCTAACGTTACCTTCACACAAATTCAAACGTTTACAAAATAATTTTACTACTTTGTATTTGTTACTTAATATGTCCCCAATACTATCATACTGTGAAATACAATGAAAGACTTTTGAAAGCGCTTTCTTTGCACGCTAAGATGAGTCAAATGTTTTATTTCTGCAAGTGGGTTTTGCTTTTTCTTTGGCAATTTTCGAGACACTTATTCCCAAAACAGAAGCAACCTCCCTCAACAACGGCGATTAAGAGAACAAGCACAGCTCAAGGATTTTTTTTTCCTCGCCTGTGACTAGAGTGGAGCTAGGGGGGCTCGGAAAATAATTTACAAATATATTTTAGAATATGAAACAAAATGATGGAGGGGCTTAACTGGGGGTTACAGGGGTTTCTGAAGGTGCTATAGTCCCCTTAGCCGCGTGTAGCGCCATGCTGGTAAGAGAAGAAGATTGAGGAGGGGGTGAGAAGACAATAAAACGCAGGTTCACGCACAGCAAATGTCTTTTCCAGTAGTTACAGTCATTTCATTTATTCATCTACACGTATAGGGATACTAAAAAAATGAGGTGCAATGCATATCATCTTTGTCTTCATTTCCCATTCATATTTCAATTTCAGGTGGAAAATGTGAGAGCTGTTTCCCCGCTTTGCATGTACAACAGCTCTTCTAGACAGGCCTGAGGTGCAAACTCATCCAAGCGACCCTGGACCTTGTTTTGAGAAAATAACAAGATGGTCTCCCTCAACCTGTCCCCGCAAACTGGAAGAATATGATCGTCCAACATGTCTTGATAAGATGAAGAATTGGCAACAATTAATTCATTAGTTAATGATGAGGTGTGTCACAAAATGTTTGTTCACGCATATAATAAAATAACTATAGAAAGAAGTCAAAAATAACATTTTATTCACCTATTTTTTAAGTTACTGTCATGAAGGGTTTGGTGACAAGAAAATGCTTACAATATCCTTCTTATTTTTTGCAGATGAGAATTTTAAATTGTGTTACAGATTTTAGCTAGCATCATGTAAGTTGACATGTTTGATTTGTTTTTGTGGGCCACATCTGGCCCCCAGGCCTTGAGTTTGACACCTGTGCTCTAAATTGTCCCTGGGTGTGATTGTGAGCGCTAAATGGTTGCTCGTCAATGAGTGCCCTGCAATTTAGTGGCAACCAGTTAAGGGTGCTCCTGCCCAAAGACAGCTGGGATAGGTTCCAGCATGCCCCAGCACCCTTGTGAGAATAAAGCAGATCAGAAAATGGATGGATGGATGCAGAAAGCAACAAGTGCCATATGCATTTTACTGCAGTCACCATTGCATGCTTTTAACTCCATTTAAGCCAATCCCGAGCCCCTATGTATTTACTTTTGTGAACTTGCCATGTACTCTACATCCCCATACATTTCTGTGCCCATTATTTCTTGCTAACTTGTCGCAAATATAGCTTTGACCGTGCTTGAAAGTCAATAAAACTTGACAATGCGTGAAACATTTTAAGAAAAATGACGTCAAGAAACTCAACGGTGTAATAACATTTCACTCGTGAATGATCTCTTTGCAAACACTGCCGTCCTTCGCTTCTAATATCAGACTTGAAGGCATGACGATTGGGTGCTGATTTGTTGATGTTTCTTGTCTTTGTTCTGTTCTGTACAAACAACCTATATTTCACAGCTGATGTGAAGTTCCCAAGGTGAGCCATGATTGGTCGTTACCTGAGTACTTGTGATGTCATTTTCATTCGACAGCAAATGGCAAAAGGCGTTTTTAAAGGTGTTGATCGTACATGAAAAATTAAAATGGAAAGAGAGCCAACAGTCTTGCAACTTAAACCTTTGACATCTAACCTTTGAAATTTATAGAAAAATGTGTCACGTGGAAGCGTCGCAGTGAAGTGAAAGTCTCTCAACGGGTGGGTGGGTGATGATTTTGATGACACTCACCGGATACGAAGGCCACTTTCTCCTTCAAGACAGGCAGAACATCAGACGCCTTAATGCCTTCAGTCCTCAGAGACCCTGCAGCAACCCGAAAAAAAAAAAAAGAAGCGAAAGAGACAGTCAGTGGAGCTTTACGATTTTATAATTAATCCAATTATCAGATCAACATTCCTGCGAGGGAAAAAAGAGCCGCACGCTGACACAAGCCCTTTCTGAAAATGTTGTGGAAAATGTCTTCCTCTGCTGCTCCTTCGTATTGCCTTTCAAACAACATTTTGGGGTTTCATAACTGTACCACTTGAAACTTCAGCATTTGCGGGACAGTTCTGCACACAGAATGTGGTTTGTAACCCACCATCTTTTTTGCAGGTTCTCAAGATCGTAATCTTCTCTCATGAGCGGTGGGGATGTGCCTGAATGTCCGACTCCTGCTGTGCGAAAGATGAATGTTTTTAAATCCCTGCTCGGATTAAAAGATGGAGTTCTAACGTTACCTTCACACAAATTCAAACGTTTACAAAATAATTTTACTACTTTGTATTTGTTACTTAATATGTCCCCAATACTATCATACTGTGAAATACAATGAAAGACTTTTGAAAGCGCTTTCTTTGCACGCTAAGATGAGTCAAATGTTTTATTTCTGCAAGTGGGTTTTGCTTTTTCTTTGGCAATTTTCGAGACACTTATTCCCAAAACAGAAGCAACCTCCCTCAACAACGGCGATTAAGAGAACAAGCACAGCTCAAGGATTTTTTTTTCCTCGCCTGTGACTAGAGTGGAGCTAGGGGGGCTCGGAAAATAATTTACAAATATATTTTAGAATATGAAACAAAATGATGGAGGGGCTTAACTGGGGGTTACAGGGGTTTCTGAAGGTGCTATAGTCCCCTTAGCCGCGTGTAGCGCCATGCTGGTAAGAGAAGAAGATTGAGGAGGGGGTGAGAAGACAATAAAACGCAGGTTCACGCACAGCAAATGTCTTTTCCAGTAGTTACAGTCATTTCATTTATTCATCTACACGTATAGGGATACTAAAAAAATGAGGTGCAATGCATATCATCTTTGTCTTCATTTCCCATTCATATTTCAATTTCAGGTGGAAAATGTGAGAGCTGTTTCCCCGCTTTGCATGTACAACAGCTCTTCTAGACAGGCCTGAGGTGCAAACTCATCCAAGCGACCCTGGACCTTGTTTTGAGAAAATAACAAGATGGTCTCCCTCAACCTGTCCCCGCAAACTGGAAGAATATGATCGTCCAACATGTCTTGATAAGATGAAGAATTGGCAACAATTAATTCATTAGTTAATGATGAGGTGTGTCACAAAATGTTTGTTCACGCATATAATAAAATACAGTATTTTGGTGACAAAGCCATTGTGCTGAGCTATTATGCCACATATTGGGTACATGTTGCCCTGAGTCATTTGACATAAGAACCAATTTGATTTGCATTGAAAAACTGTTGTATGTTTGAAATGAAGGAAGGAAAAGTGAGAATCGAGTCTGCTGCCAACATCAGCAAGTCCGAGTGTGTGTATGTGTGTGTGTGTGTGTGTGTGTGTGTGTGTGTGTGTGTGTGTGAGAGAGAGAGAATTTTGTGTGCAGAATTTTTTTGCCATTTTACATACACAGGAAACTGTCTGACTTGTCTCCAAGGACAAACACAAGCCCCGGTATCGCTGACTGGGTTGTCAGATTGGCGTGAATGAAACAAAAATGCTATTTTTTTCTTTCTTACTTCCTTTTCTTTCTAAAATTGCAAAATGTGTTAAAATGCTGATTTTTTTTTCAATTCTATTAACAAGCAGACTTGTCAAGTCATGTAGTTTAAGTCCAAGTCAAGTCTGAATTAAGTCAAGTTGTTCCCAAGTTTTTGATAACCCGGCAAGAGTTCGATTGATACGTGAATCACTCAAAGAAGTTCTCCACAGTATCAATCGGAGACTGCTCCAATGTGATCTGCTCGGGAAAGGCGGGACCATCAGGACAATACTTCGCGCTGATTGGATGATGAAACTTGTGCACCCAAATTTCATTTTGACCCATCCTGGCAACCGATGAAAATGTCACCTTGTTTTGACCAACTGCGTCCTGTTATCTCGACGATTGGCACAGATGGCATCATGGCGTTGAGAGATAGTTGTTGCTTTTGCAATGTAAATATGTATATATAAATAAAGGGAAACATAAATAACACGACATTGATGTTTCAATCAAGCCGACTGTCAAACAAGTAGAGTTTTGGTCAAAGCCGCATTCCCCGCTTCCAAACACATTGTTGCTTTGTGAATGATCCGGTGCAAATCAGTCAAAACGTTCGAAAAATGGTGAGCTTGTGATTTGCTTTTACTCTAACAGCCATCGTGGAAGTTTTTTACATCAAGATGTGAAGTAAACTTCAATACACACTTCCTGCCGCTTGCCCCACAGGACAAGAATGACCAAAGTGTTGCTTTCATGTCAAAGATTTACAGCATTCACACATTTTGTGACTACTGTCGTGTGTTTAAGATTCTAATCAAACCTTTTTAGCGCTAACTTTTTTGGGGGGAGGGGGGTTTTTAATTATTATGATTTTTTTTTTTCCAGTTTTTGTCTTCCGTTTCTGTCTCAGACACACAACTTTCATCCGGCATGTGCTTTCTCCATCCGTGCGTGTGTCCACAGTCGCCATACATTACAGACGTGATTGCAGCAGCATATGTATGTCAAACTAAATAGCTTGGAGCCAATGAATTGACTGGACACACGTGAACATCGCCACGAAAACAGCCAACACCACGTCCACACTTTTGACTTCTGTCGTACTTGTCATCAAGTGCAATTCTTCCGTGATGAAACAAACGACATGTTTCCACTGGTTTTCGATCACATTTTGACCACGTCTCATTTTTCATCACGTTCCAACTGCATTCGCCACAGCATTTCCACATTGCAGTACAGTTCGGAAGGGTAAATGATGTCAATAGCCACGCCCGCGACCTAAACAGCGTATCATAGCCATGACCAAGTTTTCGCCACATCTCAACACAGTTCTGTGGGAACTAATGATTGCAAGAGCTGCGTGTGCTCCGTGAATAGTGTGACGTCATCACCGAAATATCTCCACCACGTGTTTGCCACTTTCCAATGTTTCCATCACAATGTCACCATGTTTTAGCAATTCTTTACACATTTTCAGCAAATTTTCAACAATCTTACCAATTTCCATTTTTTTTAAACGCTCTTGCCATGTTTCTACCTGTACAGTATGGAAGGGTCCTGACTTCTGATGGCGATAGCTGTGTAATTAATTCCCATGAAATCATAGCCATTACGTTTTCACTACAATCCACTGTTTCCTCAATGATTTCACCACATGTCAGCTATGTTTTATTGACACACGGTTCCGTGAATTTTTCTCAACGTTTTTTTTTTAAACATTTTCACCAATTTTCACCCAAATTCCCATGTCCACCACAAATTGTAGTTTAGTTTGATGTATCGCTTGTAATGGCAAATCATGGCGTGTCTTGCTTTTGCTGGCAAGATGGCCGACTATATGTCACGTATGTGACGCACAATAAGGTGAAAAAGAAGTTAGAGCCACTTTGTAGTTAACGGAAGTATTTACAAGTATTACAAGAAGAGGAGCATTGGGTTTTGTCATTTTCCCAATCTCAAAGTGGCCTCTCTTTGTCCACCAATGGAAGGGTGGCAGAAATTGGAAGAGAATAGAATGGATAGTTTGGAAGCCTTCACAAACATTTTGTCTTTATGCGGCCAATAAAAGACAGCATTTGTTTTTTTTCGTGGTTCTTTTCAAGCCTTCAGATTCACACAGAGACACACACACACACACACACACACACACACACACATCACGAAGAAGCTGGAACTCTGACTTTCTCAAATGAGCATAAATCACCGAGTGAATGAAAGTCTAATAAGCGTGAATGAATAACTGGTCCAAATAAACATTCCCTCTCACCTCATTTACATTCCAGCAAAAGAGGAAAGGAGGGAATACAGATTAGGCCTGCTTCACTCAAGGCACATTATAGTCAGGACTGTGATCTTCAGCTGTAACCTAAGTCACCTAAGTTTGGAGAGCACCAAAAATGAATGTGATCTGACCTTCGCCTTGAATGTAGACTTGTGTGGGGTACTAATCAAAATCAAGAGCATACTGTACTTGTACTGACCGATCAATAATGACTAAAACATATCAGATTGGGAGAAAATTGTGACCACTATAATGCCAACAAGAAGAATTTGCTCTTTAACTTCAGTCATTGTATCTTGTGTCAGATAGCATTTGAATATTAGTTGTTTTCTTGGGTCTTCAAAAAAAACAAAAAAGTGCCCAAAAAACAAATGTAAACAAATAGATTCCATCAGATAATCTCCAACTCTTATCACATCTTCATTGTTTTATTTTATTTTATTTTTTTAGACGAATGCGGATTCCCATATGTGGCATAAAATCTCGCTAACCAATTAATTGGCAGATTAATGAAAAAAATACATATAAAGTAGATTCTTTTTGGTCCCTTAGTTTTTACAACAATAAAGTTATGAATTACGTGCAGAACATTTAACAGTTTTACAATACTTTGACCTTTAGAATTTATTTCATGCTACAAAAGAGAGAAAAATTGGCAAAAAATAGGGAACTTTTTTTGGAAGGTTTGAGCATCATCGTCATCGTTTTATGTTGTAATGTGTTTATGCGTAAAAATTTTGTTATTCAACCATTCTTAAAAGAGCTTATATGGGCCAATTTGATCGGTTGGCTGATAAATCGTTTGGGCCCTATTTCCAATTCATTTCAGTGGTGTATATGTTTTTCTTCTTTCTTCTTTCTACCCACAATCTTGCTGCTGTAGACTGTAAATTTCCCCAGTGTGAGACAAATAAAGGATATCTTATATCTTATACAGTGCAGTGAAAATATTGTATATCCCGTTCCCGATTCTGTGTTCTTTGCATATTTATCACACACAAGGGGTTGAGTTTATTTAACCAATTTTAATATCACAGACAGAAACCTCAAGGAAATACAAAATGCAGTTTCTAAATGCCAATTTAATT